CACTGCCCCCCCCAACCCCCTCCCTGCATCCCAGGGGCGCTCGAGGTAACCGGCCTGATGCCCTCTGGGGTCCAAGCCCGGTCCATATATGCTGGGTACTTGGGAGTGCAGCTCCCCGACCCAGGCCCCAGCTCAGCGGCTCACCTTTCCTCCTTTGAACGGCTCTTTTAATCACCAGCCACAGAAGGGCCAACAGGAGAAGGCCCAGGATAGTGGGTACCAGGATGTGAAACCCTTGGTCCAAGCTCCCCGAGCTTGAGCCATCGGAGTGGTAGAAGGATCTAGTCGGGGGAGGGGAGGAAGAGGGTAAGCAAGGAAGATGGGTATACAGAAGCACTCTTCTTTGGGTGGAGATGACTGACTGATGTATCCCTTTGTTAACAGAAATTTCCCCTATTTTACCCAAAGAGACAAGAGTCTTGGGTTCCAATTCTTATCACATAGTCTTTTACTGGCTGTAAACACTGTAGTAAAGCCCCTATCCAAACTAGGAATCAAGTGTCCTGGGTTCATTTGAAGCTACTTAGTTTCTCATGGTCTCAGTTTCCCCATTTATAGGTCACAAATGATGTGTGAGGTCCTTTTCCTCCCTAACGTGTTTATATTTGCTAAAATGAAAGCAATTAAAAACAACCACAACTCAATGGCTTAGTGGCTGTCCTTAACACCATTCTCATTTAGTTCTCCATCAAAACAGATTTAAATGAGCCTGAGTGATTGAGAGAGGTCTCATTTCATTCTACAAGGTCAATGTTTGGAGTATTGGCCAGTGTATTTTTGTTAATAGGACTGAATTAATGTGATACATTTATAGCATATTTTGCAGCAGCCTTCTGGTGACAGTGCCAAGAAGGGTGGCCAACAGTGGACATTGCTGGATGGCCTCCGGGCATCTCTTAACTCTAGCTTGTTTTGCCTGGGTTCTAGCCTATCCTGGCTGGTGGAGGCTCTTACCTCTGCCTGGTGTGGTAGTTGTAGCTGGTCACTTGGTGCCCGAATAGCCCCTCCTGAGTGGGAGTTTTTGAGGTAGTGGTTGTCAGGAGAGTTGGAGGCTTGGCAGTGGCTACCGAAGATGTTCTGGAAACTCCAGGATAGTGAATTGCTAGAGTGGTGGGGGAAGAATGGTGGGCTGGAGAGCTCTCCATCCTTTGAGCTGGGGTGGTAACTGCAGGAGGTGGTAGGAAATAAAAAACACCAATTTTCTATTCATACAGTGTTCTCTAGTCTCCAGAGTCTTTAAGAAGCTCTTTCCTTTTGCCCAGGCTACCTTTGCTCCTGAAGTTCTCATGGCCCACGTGTCTCCCCAGCGTACCATCTACACTGGATCGGTGTAGATCAGTACCCCTTCCTTGGGAAACCTTCACTAACTTCCCAGGGAGAAAACTGACCCTCCTCTGTTTATAGTTTATAGATCTAGTCCCACACTACCTACTGCTATGTGTGTGTACTTACCTCTTCTCCCAACCCCTTCCTGTCGGTCACCACTATGGCTCCATGACCTCCCCATTTATCTTATTCTAGCACCTAAAAGGGTGTAATAATACTCTACTAGTGTATCTTTCACATAGGATATGTGTGAAGATGTGATGAAAACGGTGTGCGTCAAACTGTATTTAAAATTGGAAAATGATTCTGAAATACGAAGTTACTATTAGTATGAGATTCATCCTTTAATTACAAAGAGAGTTGATAAAAAAATCACTGGTGGACATCAGGTACCCTTGTAGGTAGAAGGAAGCATGATGATTTCCAGTAGGGAAACCTCTGTGCAATCTTGGTTTGGGCAGTCATTCAAAAAGGATCTAGGTTTTGTGAATGGAACACAGACTTCATTATGTGTGGTGCCACCTGGTGGTGGTGGTGTGTAAGTTCTACAACTAGGGCTCAGTTTCTTGGCTGCAAGGAAGAGTAGGCTTTGGAAATACACATGTGAGACACAGTTCTGCTCTACTAGATGGACTTGTCCATCCTCCATTTTTCACAATGTCACAGCATTCCTCCCCAGCCCCACCTTTCCCACTACTGTTTTGGTAAACTGACCTGCGGCAATGGATTCAGAAGAACTGGTTTGTGTGACAATTTGGAGCCACTTGGGCATCTGCATGTGCAGGTATCTGTGAAACCATTCTGGAGGCCCAGATATCGGCTCCTCTTCCAAGAATGGCTCATAGGCTATTGGAGGCAAGAGAAATTTGGTGGTAGTCTGGGGTAATGGAGGAGGCCTGGGGAAGGGCTGGTGGCTATTAATAGATGCTGACTGAGCCAGGGTAGATGGCAGTAAGGAACTGAGGATGAGCAGAAAATGAAATGGGCTTCCTTCTCGGAAGGACATATTCTCTCTTTAACTCAGCCGACATTTCCTTCAAAATCATCAAAGATAATTGGGACTGTCAACTGCAGCATTATGCTGGGTATGTAGCCCCTGAAGAGGAAGATAAAGGCATGATTCAAGAGAAATAATAGCAGTTGTGGTTTATAAACAGTGATAAACGTGGTTTTAAAATGGGGCTGGATAAATGCATGTCCTTTATATTCATTTCTAGTATTTCTCACAGGACAATGATGTCCCTTCTTTAAGTTTTCTCCAGTTTGAGAGCCTCTCCTCAGCCTCATGCCTTCCTTTCTCCTCAAGCCGTGGGCAGCATGGTCTAACACATAGACACACCTGTCCTTCTTCTTCCATCCACTGTTGGATAGAAAGTTTCTCGTCCCAGAGGTGAAGTTTAGCTTCAGAAATCCTAGTTGTTGCTGCACTGGCTAGCATGATGATAGCATCACAGCCCAGGGACTATTGCAGTTAAATGAAAACATTTCCCGGGTGGCCTGAGCAATCATGCAGCCGGGGTACCTACCATTGTGTACATTCAAGATGACTTTCTGGGTCTTTCCCAAGTCTGTGTACTTGCCCACCCCACAGGCATAGATCCCGCTGTCACTTTCGGTCAACTTCATTATCGCTACCAGGAAGAGATTCTTGTCTGAGCATGGCTTTAGAGTGATTCGGTCCCAGTATTCCTTCCTGATGAATGTGCTGGACACCACCGTAACACAAGCTCCAGACTTGGTCATCTGCCGGCACAGGTACAGCCTCACATTAATGTCAGGCATTGGGCACTTGATGATAATGGATCCGCCCAGCTCTCCATCCAGCTGTACTTCCGGGAGGATCCTCAGAGCCCCAGAGACTGCAAAGGAGAGAGAGAGAGAGAGAAAGAGAGAGAGAGAGAGAGAGAGAGAGAGTTGATACAAGAAGAGGCCCATCCACATCTATATTCCAACCCAGCCACTTCCATACTCTGAGTTATCTCTCCAACCTAGGCCCCAACCCAGCTTCACACTCATCTTCAGATCCAGTCCCATCCACCTCATCAGCCTACTGCCAGCCAGCCCTTAGCCCTGGCACAAAGGTGATTTCTATCTTGGCCTCATCCTTAACTTCTTCTCAGGCCAGCTCTGTACCCATCCCAATCCTATTTCCCAGCCTTTACCCTATTTCCCTCTTGTCCCAAGATCCAGCCTCATTACTAAATATGCAAGGATCGAGACAACTTCCCTCTGAGAATGTAGTCAAAACTACACCTGCACCACCAAAGGAGAACTCATATTTGAGTGACCCCAGCCCCCCACAATGGTATAAACCCTGCAAGTCATTTCAGGTTGGTACTGGGAGGTGTGGTAGAGCTATACTGCAGCAAACTGTCCTTTTCAGTTTTGCTTTGCTCAGTTTTAGCCAGCCAACGGTTCCTTATACCAATTCTCTGTCTTTCAGACATTCAACAAGTAGGTATGGAAAGCCTTTCACGTGTGCATGAATCATCTGGCGGTGATATGAACAGACAGATACCCTGGCATGGTGTAATAATGGGGACAGGCACCAGGTTTCGTGGGAGGACAAGCAGGGGCACCTGATCCAGGTTGCTGAGGGGGAATGAGAAGTTGAAGGGAGGCTTTCTGGAAGAGGTGCTGTGCGAGCTGTGACCTGAAGGAATGGGCAGGAAGAGTGATCAAGAGGCGCCATGCTCATCCCTGAGGTAAGGAACTCATAGGAAGGAAATTAAGGACATGTATGAGTCTGAGTGCACATGTATGTGTGTGTGTGTGAACATATCATATGTGTGTTGGAGAAGAGTAAGAGCTGTGTATTTAAAAAATCCCTACCATCCAAAAGCTTATACATTGGGTAAGAGAAAGGCAGATGAGTGCAGTTTGACCGGTACAGAAGAGGGTAAAGGCTGGGCTGATTAAATGTCAGCTAAGTCGTTCTCAACATGTTTGTGTATTTCTAGGAAGAAGGTGTGTGGAGTAAAGCATTTGTGTGTTGGAGTAAGGTTAGAGGACTGGACTGAAGAGGGGTCTAAATGGCAAGAAAAAAAAAGTCCTCATAAAAGTGGGAAGGCAAGAGAGAACAGAGCATGTGGATGGGCGTAGGATGTCTACAAAGAGTAGATGTATCCAAACCATGTGCTCAGAATAGGCCCAAGTCTAGTCAAATGAGAGTCAAGAAAAGGGTCAGAAAGTGGCAGGGCTGGAGTTTTCTGGATGAGGAGGGAAGGATACAGACAGGATAAAGAGGTAGAAATAATCATGGAGGAGAGATAGAGGTATGCGAGGGTAGGAAGGGGCTAGAAAGTGGGTACCTACAGGAGATCCTGAGTTCTACAAGTGTAGCTGATATTAATGTAGAACCAGATGGAGAGGGCCCAGATAGAAAGTCCAGGCACAATCACAGCGGTAATGTGGTGATGGAAGGGCGACCTGCTCATGAGGACTCAGCCGATGTCCCAGATCTAATCAGGAGTGTGGGGGAAAGGGGTGAGTCACCCCGTGCACTCATATCTGCATGGGAAGCTGAGCAGTGAGCTGAGCACCTCAGCACCAAGGGTGGAAACGCATGAGTGTTTTTGAATGATGCTAACCCAGCCAGACGTGGGGGTAGGGAGGGGAGGCTCAGGAACAGGATGTTACACAATGGAACAGGGGCAAGACAGAGAAGAGATGGGGCTATTGTCTATGAAGTCTCATGGTATATACACTGAACAGATGAAGCCCAAGGAAATCTGGGCACACTGAGCTCTTGTTGACCAGAAAGCACCAGCTGGCAATGTGAAAACGGCCTGCTTTCAGGAAAAAAGCATCAACTCGCTTTGATGTGCATGCAAACCTACACCCAAGACCTAGAAAAGCAGGTTTCCAAGAGAGACAAGTAGATAAAACCCCTTGGTTTAGAATTATAAAATGACCTAAGCCACGTAGGAGAACTCATTGTGCCTTTGGTGCTATCACATATGCATGGTGATTGGGTTTTTAGACAGGGGCTAGGTATCTGCATTGTTTCTGTGTTACCTATACTAGGATTTGAACTCAGGACCTTGATCTCTCTCTTGGCTTTTTCATTCAAGGTTGGCACTCTATCCCTCGAGCCATACTTCCACATCTGGCTTTTTGCTGGTTACTTGGAGATAAGAGGCTCATAAACGTTTTGAACCACAATCCCTCTGATCTTAGCCTCCTTAGATCTGTATTTTAAAGGAGCATCCCAGGGTTCCCTGTCTACATCTTCCATCCTGTATTACTACATTTAAAAATGGAGACTGGAGGGAAGGGATAGTGGGAAGGGGTAACAATGATAGACAAGAAATGTAGTCATGGCCTTACTCATGTAACTGTAACCCCTCCGTACAGCATCTTCACAACAAAGTAAAAAAAAAATAAACAAAAATGGAGATTCGAAGTTTCAGTAGCGATGGTAGAGGTGAGGAGCTATGTGGTTTAAAAACTCTCTCTTGTGGCGCTGTGGCTCAAGTGATAGAGCACTCACTTTGAGCTGAAGAGCTCGGGGACAGTGCCCGGGCCCAGAGTTCAAGCCCCATGACCGATTAAAAAAAATAATAAACTCTCTCTTGCCAGGCACTGGTGGCTCACACTTGTAATCTTAGCTCCTCAGGAGGCTGAGATCTGAAGATCACAGTTCAAAGCTAGCCTAGGCAAGAAAATGTGCATGGCTCTTATCTCCAATAATTTACCCCCATCCCTCCCAAAAAGACAGAAGCGAAGTTCTGGCTCAAGTGATAGAGTGCTAGCCTTGGGCAAAAAAACTCAAGGACAGTGCCCAGGCCCTGTGTTCAAGCACCAGGACTATCACACATGGGCACACGCACACACATGCTCTTTCTCTTCATGTATAATGGGATGTAAATACATGTTAGGGTTGTGGAAAATACTCTATAGTTTTCCTAAACTATGGCCAAAGGCCCAGTGGCTTTTGGTGACGATGGGGTATAGATTTCACCTAAGTGTCTATTTCCTTCCGTTCATGTCACATTCCTAGCTCCTGCCTTCCCTCTGACACCACTCCATGTCTACTCTGCTTGAATATCTAAGAGGCTACCACAACAGCCACAAGAGAATTCCGGATTCCTCTTTCCAGTCCTGTTCTTTCAGATACTTTTTCCATCTCAGAAAACAGAAGTACCATTCATCCACACGTACCCTCATATTAATGAACCAAAAATGCATCCTAAGTGTATGGGGTGTGTGTATGTGTGTGTGCGTGTGTGTGCACGTGTGTGTGCACATATACTGAGTCACAACACTAAGTATAGGTATTATTGTTGTTAAGGTGAAGGTACTAAGCGATTTGCAAGCCCACATCCTATACTACTACTTCTGTATCACTTGCTTTATGGTAGCACTCCTCATTGGGGCCCAGGCATTGTGAGTGTTTACTGGCCTGGGCTCCAGGGACAGGTCCTCTCCTACATTAGTAGGATCCAGGGCGGTAATACAAATCAAGGTCCAAATACCACCTGTCTGAATAGTTAATCATTATAATAAACTGTTGAATAAAATATTTCATTTCTCCCCATCTTAGCAAAATATTATAAAGTGGATGTCCACTTTATAATGTGACCATGGGAAAATGGCCCCAAATTTCCTGTCCCCATCCTGTGGTCCCTCTCCATCCCTGGCTCTTGCTTACATTGAAAGGATCCTAGTGTAGACATAGTAGACACCCTAGTCTGAATGTACAGCCCTCCCACTACTACCTCCTTCCTGGATAGATACCTGTGGCCACGTTCATCGGCCAGGTGTCAGCCTCAGGAGAAAGACCAGAATAGAAGCTTGTACAGTCATTGAAGGAATTCCAGTTCAAGCAGGGGGGAAATTAGTGTGAGCTTGGGGTGGACACTCCATCCTGGACCTGTGTACTCTTTACCCAGGGGGTTGGGTCTGGCAAGACAAGGCCGGGGCCTGGAGCAGGGTCTCTTTCTGAGGCCCATGTTTAGCTGACCAACTGTTGTGCCTGTGTGTCCCTCTGTCTCTCTACTTCCCAGAGTCTCTGGTAAGTGCATTTAAATTCCATACCTTTGGCCTTTCCAAGCACTTCAGTCTTTTTTTAAAAAAAATACAATAAATATTTGAGTTTCTTCCATATTCAAGACATTATAAAGTATGGATGAGGAATCTGTTGACCCTGGAGGAATTTATCATGTAATAAAGCGAAGAATATAAACTCATACTGAGCTACAGTGTGAATGAACGTGGTCAGTTATTGGCGCTCAGAAGTGTCTATGAGAAGAAATGGTATTTAAGGTGGTCTCCGAAATCCACGATAGTGAAGGTGAGATAAAGAATGTTTCTGGCAGCAGGAACAGCCCGAGCAAGGGCACGGTGGTAGGAATGTTAGCGTTAGTTCAAGGGAGAGTCCTGTTTGGTAGAGGGAGGTTACTGTAAGTGTATTTAATTAGTAAACAGTGGGTGCCATTGACATTTCCACAGCGGCAATCCTGAGTCAAGATTAATTGGGAGCTGCATACCCGCTACTTTGAAAGAAGTGGGAACGAGAGTTGAGGGATGAGTGTGTTTTCTTTCTTTCTCCATCTGCTATTGCATGGTAAATATGGATCTAGAAGACACAGGTATCGGCCACTGATTGAAGCAAAGTCTTTATGGAGATGAAAGGCCAGAGGTAGGAAAAAACCATTCTGTAATTTTGTGGCTGATGTTAGAGCTACGAAGGCCAGACGGAATAGCGGCCTTGCATGGGGACCAATGGGGCAAGGTATTAGGATGGCTGTGCTTCAGATGTTCTAGGGAAGTTGAAGTGGAGGTTTTGATATGAATTATGGAATCAGAAGACCGATTCAAGCTGGTAGATGGAGTAGAAGGGTCTTCATCCAGCTAAACGCTGGAATTTCAAGTGTGAAAAGAGATCGAACGTAAGAGAAAATAGGAATACAATTTTAGAGGCGCCTCCTTTAGGGACCCATATTAGTAGGCAAAGAAGGTATCCAGGAGAATGCCCTTGAGGGATAAACTTAACAGTGTCTGGAGTGGAGAGGCGACCCTGGACGCCAGTGGGGAAGGCCTTCAAGGCTGTCTGGAGCCTTCATCCTTCTCCTGCCTTATATACTAATTTGCAACTGGATCTGTCTAGACACATCCAAGGTGGAGGTGCCCAGCAATTGAATCCCTATGGTCATTTCAATCCTTTAAGAAACCTGAAGTGTTTTCCCAAAGCACTTACCTGGCAGGAAGTAAAGGGACCAAAGCCAGAAGTCCATGGTTCTTTTCCAGAGTCAGGTGCCACCCAAGAGCTCCTGGAGGGGGCCGGATACCCGCTCTCCAGCCAGGAGCCTTGCGCAATTGTGAGCTTGAAAGAGATTCTGATCCTCTTGAGGGGGCAAAAGCGTAAAAATGAGGAAACGACAACCCATCATGTTCCCTAGCTACGCTTCTACTAAAAAGGAAAATGACAAACCACAGCGGAAGTGAGTTGAGAAAACAGGCTGCGAGATGGGTCACCGGGGTTCAAAGAGCCTCTAGGAAGCTCTCAAGACTGTGTACAACCACCGGGGGATCTGGTTCCTTGCCGGTGAATTGCGAATTTCTTTGCCTTGGAACATTTATTTATTTGTTTGTTTGTTTATTTATATTCTACAGGTGTTACACAGAAGGGGTACAGTTATGTAAGCCAGGTTACAGTTATGTAAAGTCAGGAGATCTTTTCTTTTTGGACAGTGTCACTGGTTCTCTCGCTCTCTCCTAGTTTTTCCCTCCCATCTCCACCCACCAGTCTGATAGCTCCTTTTCAACAGTGTCCAGTGAGTACCACAGCTGCATTTATTTACCATTAATCCCTCCATTTCTATGCCCCCTTACTCTTCCAAGGACAGAGAAATGAATAAATAAGGCCAAAAGAAAAGAATAACAAAGGGAAAAAACCCTTTCTTCCATTTCCTGGAATTCATGTTGATAATATTATTTTACATGTGTTCCCCCTTAAGAGTATCCTCCTTTGGTCTCATTGTGTGTGGATGCCTACAGTCCTGTTCGATTTATCATGTCTAGGTGTATTTCAGATCTAGCTTCCCCATACAAGAGAAAACATGTGACAGTGGCACATGCTACTGTGGCACTTTTTTCAGGATTGGATATACAAACTTTAGATATCTTGCTTGACTCCTGACCTGGAGTTATTTATTCTATCCCTGTCTTCAGAGCCAAAGATACTCAGCACCAACTCTCCTCATCTCTGGAAGGCTGTGTGGGCAGAAGCTTGGGCCAGAAATCAGAAGATGCTGGCTGTGGTCCTAGTGCATCCTCACCCTGTCCAGCGCTGTCCAGGGTCTATGGTGTGGGGCTGCTAACCATCGACTTGATGCTGTGTATCCGCTTTTCTCTGTGCCTCAGTGAAGATGAGATCAAAGGACCCCGGGTGCGTTTCTTCACACAGAACGTCATTCCTGGGTCTCACCCGCAGCTTGTCCAGTGCCTGAGCCATCCCTCCGCTGACACGTGCCCCCAGCGGTGTCCATGAGGTGCTGCTTCCTTCTTACTGAAGCACAAACCACTGATCAGTGACCACAGAAACAAGGCCAGGAGGAGAGGTGACAAGTCATACAGCAACTCTGACATAAGTCACAACAGCTTTCTCTTCAAGGGCCCCAGGGTAGATCCATTGACCAGAGCGGGGGGAGGGAGAGTGGTGGAGGTCATAAAGTATCCTGGTGGGAGATTAGGACTCAAATCAGAAGCCCCAAATTCTTGGCACTTTCTAGCTTCAGACAAACTTTACTGAGCCTCAGATTTCTCATGGATAACATGGAGGTAGTCCCTGTCCTGTCTCACACAGCTGTTATGACACCAGCAGACACCACGGCTGTGGAAGTGTTTTGCAGGCCTTTGAAGGTAAAGGAGCAGATTTTCCACCCCAGGCGGTGGGTTCACCGGGCTCCCCCACCAGGCACTGCGGCCTCTTGTGGCCATGGAAGATCCCAGCTGTTTGCATACGGCTGCTCTGGGGTGTGTATTCACCACTTCCCACTCGCCCACACACACAGCAGATTGTATCACATGCTCTCCAAGACACAAAACAAGCTGTGTGGTGGATGCAGAGTGTGTGTGGAGTAGCACAGGTGCAGAGGAAGTGAGTGCGGGGGTGGGCCAGCAGCCCCACCCCTTCATGCTCAGAGCAGCTTCCTGGTGATGCCCTGCAGCCAGCAAATGGGCCGAGATGTCAGAAGCTGGCCCCTGCAGCCTCTGGCTGCCAGGGGGTTTTACTAGGATCAGGCCTACCTTGCCCTACTCAGAGGGAAGCCTGCATATAACTGGCCGCTTCCCATTTGCATGGCAATTGGGGTACCAATGATAAAGGTGATGGAAGTGACAATGGGTGTGAGAGAAAGGTGCAAACCTAAGTATGGGTGTGTGTGTGCATAGACCATGTGATAGGTGAGTGGACCCTGTGTGTATGCAGTATATGTAGTGTGGTGTGTGGTATGGCTGTGTATGGGACATGTATTGTGTGATGTGTGGCTATTAATGTGTGTGTGTGCAGTGTGTGTTGTGTGAATGTTGTGTTGGACTGTGACTCATGGTTGTGTGGTGTATACATATAGCTGCTCCAAGATGGATTAGGTGCCTATGAGAGTGGGTCAGAAAGCTTTTGACATGTGCAGCCCCAGAAAGACCCTTAAAAAAATCTCATGAGGCTCGGAGCTACAAGTAGCAAGGCGTTCTTGCACAGTCAAGAAGTGATTGAAGGAATGGGAACTCCCAGACCTCAGCCTGTTTAAGTCTCCGCTTTGAGATCCTGGCCCCAAAAGGTCTTAGAAGTTGGGCCTAGGGAAGACAGACCCCTGGCTAAAGGGTGTTGTGGGCAGTACCTACTCTCTTCTCTGTTTCCTGTGTGAGTTTGACCTCTGTTTTGATGCATAGTCTGCCCCCATCCCTGATCCTTCTATTTCCCAGGAGCAAGGCAGACAGAAGTGCACAAAGGCCCAAGGATTCAGCTGACCCAACACACATGTTCTGGAGGCCCATAGGGAGGAGCCGAGTGGAGAACATTCCCAGCTAGATGACAGGCAGCCGGAGGAAATAAATATTAGCAGCTGCAGTGGGCGGTGCCCAGAGCCCTGCAGGTGAATTCGTTCACTGTTTTCCTTAATGGCCTCCTCCTCATTACGCTGTGCAACAGGCTGTGTGTTACAGCATTTCTCCTAAGATGCCCGTGAGGATGCACGAGACAAACCTCACACAGGCTTCGCACCCAGCCTGGAACGTAGTGAGAGTGATTTACCCCTGTCGCTGGGGTAGAGGTGACTGAACCCTGTTCTGCTTGAGTACTGCAGTTCTGTTATTCTATCATGGCCTTTCCCATGGCCAGGCTCTGAAGAGCCATCTTCTGGACTTTTACAACACAGAAGGCCTCCAAGCTCAGGTGGTTCTCCCATGAGTCATGGCCCACCAGAAGAACCTCCTTGTCTAGAATTCTAGAAGCTACAGCTGCATCCCCATCAGAGAGAAGAAGTAAATTAACTTTCCTCATGGCCTCTGCTGCCTGGAGGGAAACCCAAGGCTGTCTCTGTTCCGAGCTGGGGCTAGGTAATTGAAGAGTACTGTAGTTGGTGGACCAGACAGGAGAGGGGAAGTGAGACTCAAGAACTAAAGTCAGAGTCCCAGCAAGAGAAGGTTGGAAAGTGTCTGTACCTGAAGAATTATCCTTGAGGCCTGGCTAGAAGACAAGGTCACTGCAGGCCAGATGGAAGATGAGAGGGGACTGTCTCCTGCAGAGAAGTGTCCAAACACAGGCCCTGAGGAAGGGTCTAGGGATACAGAGGGGGGAGCAAGCTACCAGTGGGAGACAGCTGGGATATTCCTTATAGCATATGACATGGCTTAGTGCCAGCACCTAGAATGAGCTTAATGGACAAAGGGTCTTATCTAATCACTCTCCCCCACACAGAGATTTTTATATTAACTACTCCAAACCTTAAGTTATCATTTAACTAGCTCCTAGTTGATAACCCTATAGGAATAGATTGTTTATGTGACTACCTTTGGTTTTAATTAAGTGCTTCTTGATCTTAGACAGTACCCCAGAAACATATGAAGTTCAAGGTTAAGTAATGGATGCTTTTTTTTTAATTTGACATTTTATTATGCAAAAACCTCTTGCATTTCCTAAAAATAAATCTTTATTTTCTCTCAGTGCTATCCAGTTCTCATAGACTTTGTCGACGTGAGACAAATAAAAGTTTATATTTTTATTTAGTTTTATGACTCTGGGCTTGTGCCTTAATGTTTTCTCAGCAATTTCCTGATCCTCAATAAGGAAAGCACACTTGATCCTATCACTGACACATTCACCCTACACGGAACTACCACAGGCCCTGTTGACGTGTGCTGGTTTGTTCGTTTGTTTCAGAAAGTCTCATAAGGATTTTATAGCACAAACCCTTCAAGTCAGCCTGGCATACATCACATACAGGTTTTAGTGCTCTGCCAATCTTCTGATACAAAGTTAAGCAACTCTGTTGCTAGGGGTTCAGGACAGCCTAGTTTGATGATGGTTCATCAAACACTGGGCCATTCTTTTCTTTCTTTCTTTCTTTCTTTCTTTCTTTCTTTCTTTCTTTCTTTCTTTCTTTCTTTCTTTCTTTCTTTCTTTCTCTTTCTCTCTCCCTCTCTCTCTCTTTCTTTCTTTCTCTCTTTCTTTCTTTGTCAGTCGTGGGTCTTGAACTCTGGGCCTGAGCGTTGTCTCTGAGCACTTCAGCTCAAGGCAAGTACTCTACCACTTGAGTCAAAGCGACACTTCCGGTTTTCTGGTGGTTAATAGGAGATAAGAGTCTTCTGAGTAGCTAGGATTACAGGCATGAGCCACTGGGCCATTCTTAATGTCTCTAGACCTGTTCCTGGAAGATCTCTGTATCAAGATTTTCTCTTTCATGTCCGAATGGATTATCAATCATAATGCTTTTAATTTATCCTACTATAAATAGTCTTGATTATTTTCTATAATATAGAAACTCAATCCATTCATCTACTGAGGGGCATCTGGTTTGGTTCCATATCTTAGCTATGGTAAATAATGCTGCAATAAACATAGTTGTGCTGGTAGCTTTAGTATAGTCTTGTTTGTGATCATTTGGGTAAATGCCCAAAAGTGGGATTGCTAGGGGAGCTCTATGTGGAGTCTTTTGAGGAACCTCCATACTACTTTCCAAAGTGGTTGAACAAGTTTACACTCCCACCAACAATGCAGTAAGGTTCCCTTCTGTCAACATCCCCTCCAGCATCTGTTGTTATTAGAGTTCTTGATTATAGCCATATTCAAATGCTTTTTCTTTCATGTGATTGTTTCTAACATATTTATAAGATGATTTTTTTGTTGCTTTGTGTGTCCCTCCCCCACAGTATAACCCCTGCTTTCACTGTATTTGATGTTGGTATAATTTGTGAAGGGGAAAGGCTAAAACAAATCATTTAAATAGGGATACAGCTGGACCCATTGCAACAATGATATGTACAAGTCGTTATGTCAAAAAAGGAACTTTACCACTGTGGCCAGAGGGGGAGGGAAGGGGAGATGGGAGGGGATGGGAAGAGGAATCAAAGGAGGAGGCAACAATGCTTGATAAGAAATGTACTCATTATCTTGCCCATGTAATTGTAAAGAAAAGAAACTCAAGGGCTTGGCCACTGGAGTTGACCTAAAACAATTCTTTTACTGAAGGCAGTCTTGGTTCCAGGTTTAGACCTTCCCTTCTGCCCCTTTCAGCCAACCCTTGGGTGGTGGGGGGAGAGGGAAACTACTGCTTTGGGTACATGAAAGGGTTACCTGGGAAAACACAAGTCTGGGAGAAAAATGCAGTCTGAGGCTCCTTCGTGGCAATCAGAGCATTTAATGATCAGTTAAGTCACATTTCTGATTTGTTAGCAAGTGCCAGATCGTAGGTGCTGGTTGAACTACAGAGCAGCAAGAGAAAGATTTTCAGCTTTAGTTTCCAGGCACCGTCCAAAACCTTGTCTTCTTCCCTTCCTCTCAGGGGTTGTGTTTCACTGCTTTCTTGTCTTAGTCCCAAGAATGTGACAGGAAAGAGAAGGGCTGTGAACAGGGTTAATTTTCCTGCAGTGGGGCAGATCAGTTAGCATTTTCATTTTTCTCTTCCCTCTCCTCCTGATAATGAAACCCTGCCTTCAACAGAGAGGCTGGCTAGTCAACAGCACAGGAGCTGCCATACCAGCTTTGATACTTGTAGCTCAAGGGTGCTCTAGAGATGCTCTTGTTTCTCCTCTCAGATCCTTGGTGTTCTTACCAGTGAGGTGGGAAGAATGTGTGCTTATGAATGCTGTGGAGGCTGACTTTTTGTGATGTCCCATAAGTGAAAAGACAGACACTTCCAGTCATGTTTATGAAAAGCCTTGAGATGCATGGCATCTTGTGTGGCTACTGGACGTTAGTAAATGGTCAACTATGTATATACTCTGTGTGTGTGTGTGTGTGTGTGTGTGTGCGCGCGTGCCAGTGCTGGGGCTTGAACTCAGGGCTTGGGCACTATCCTTTAGCTTTTTCACTCAGGGCTGATACTCTACCACTTGAACCACTGCCCCACTTCTGGCTGGTTCTCTGGATAAGGATCCCACAGGTTTTCCTACACGGGCTGGCTTTGAACCGTGATCCTCAGATCTCAACTTTCCTGGGTAGCTAGGATTACAGGTGGGAGCTGCTGGTACCTGACTAAATAACCTCCTTTGAATGAGGAAAGGAAGAAGAAAGGAGGGAAGGGAGAGGAAGACAGACCAGAAGAGCAAGTCACATTGCCATCCTATTATGAAGGTGCAGGGAGATTCCAAATGTTTCTCCCCCCTGACATGACCCACCCCCCCCAACTTGGATTCTTTTACTTTTAGAGACTTCCCCCTCCCCCAAGAGCTGAATATTTCTCCCCACCTTCCGTTCTCTCAACATAATAAGCTGCAGGTGGGAACTGCTCTCCCCACACCCCATCCCCAATGGGAATAATCAGGTGAGGCTTTGATGCCACTGCGGAAGGGACCAGCACAGCACACAGCACACGGGTAGGAAAAGCCTAAACGAGGGGTGAGTGCAAGCTGTGACTAGATCAACGTGATTCTGAAGGTGACTGGCATGCTCAGGGCGGGCGGCTGGTGCTTCTAGGCTTCCCTGGGGCCGTCTTCCAGCTGGGCAGCAATGTTGTTGGACTGGAACAGGAAAGCTGAGTAGGCCATGTCGGCTTCCTCCTTGGACGACTAGGGAGGGGCAGAAGAAGCATCAGTGGACGAGGGTCCAGCATTCAGTATCCTGCATTCACCATCTTTACCTGGGCAACACAAGCCTGCTTGACCCTGGCCCCCGGTCCAACCCCTTCCACTCATTTGGAGGGCCTCATTTTGAGAAATGGAAAGTTGCAGGCTCTAAAAATAGTTTCCCTTGTCTCACTACCTCCCTCCGCCACGTGGGGTGGAACCACTTCTGTTGGTGGGGCCTGTCCCCGGAAGCTGCACCCGACATAGTTCAAGGTCAAGGTGGCCCAGGTTGGGCTTTCTCCTAAAACCCAGAGACCATAGCTTTTCAGCAGCACCAGGTGGGCAGAGAAGGGAGCTTCTAAGACTCACTCCGTCTCCTAATTGGGAGAAATGTGGGACCGCTGCTGCCCAGAGGGAGAGCAAACCTGATTTTTTTTTTTAAGCATCAAGGCCTCTGGGTCAGAGGCAAGGTAGTATTCTAGAGTCTTAGTGGGGAATGAAGGGACAAGAAGCAACAGAGGCAAGAAATGTCTCTGTTGGGATTCAGGTGATGTGGCAATTGGCCGGAGTGGGCAGGGGCAGGGTTGGGTTCCTTCCTAGTGACAAGTTGACCCCCATGTGTGAATATCTTCTAAACCCAGCTTCCACAGTCTAGAGAAGACCTTGCCTAAGCCCTCCCACTGACACGTGATATTCTTATCCATATTTTCCATGCACCGGCCTTCCTTACCTCCTGGCGTCTACCCCTGCAAACCCACAGCCTCAGACACAGCGTCCCTCCTCCCTCAGCCACCCTCCTTCCTCCGCCTCATTCACACTAACGACCCACAGCTAGGAAGTTAGGTTTTCCCTTCTGAAAGTCCTCCTGGACATCCTTTCCACTGTCTTCCCTGATCTGGGGTCCACTTGTGTGAGGTGATTGCATTCTGATGTTTATATAACTGCAGTCCCAAATGTGGCGGAGTCTCCTTCTCCCTCCTCATCCTCACCCTTTTCGCTTTCTTGGGTTCTTCAGGGTCCTCGGGGACCTTGGTGGTGGTCTCCAGCTCTGTACATAGAAACAGTGTGGTTAGCTCTCGTGAGCTCTATTTCTACCCTGGATTTGGAGGTGGGTCCAATCTGCCCTCGTGCGGTTGGTCATTCTGAGACCTACCACGTTTTGCTTCAAGATCTGTCTCTAGAGTGACTGATGAGGCCCCCATGTTGTCATTGCCACCGAAGTCCCTGGAGTTGTTGAAGTCTGCCATGCTAATGTCTGTCCTGTAGCTTTGGAGTGAAATCCGGTCTGTCCAAGAGAAAGAAGAGTTGGTGTTGGGGAAAGGTTGGGGAAGATAAATCAAGGCCAGCCGCTCCTCTGTGGGAGGATTCCTGAGGCCCTTGGGAGTGGGCCCAAACCAGAATGGAAGCCATCTGAGTCTTTTCGTGGATAATCAAGACTGATTGTCACTCTAACTCTCCATGCACAGAGTGGCATTGTTCTGTCCTTACCTCAGCCCTGTAATATGGTTATTATTACTCTATCTTGAGCCACAAAGCAACTGAGGCATGAGATCAGGATGTGCTAAAGTAACACCGCCAATTGGTCATCAGCTAGGTGGTGTCCAGCATCCTGGGTTCTGGTCCCTTTCTTGGCACTGAAGTTGGATCCTGAGCCACAGAGGTGGCTTTCCAGAGACAGGATCAGGACATCTGTGCTTGATTAGGTTTCAGAGGTATGTGTGTGAGAGTGTGTGTGTGGAGGGGGGGGTTTGTATTTTCCTCCACATGCTTTCTCAGAATCCTAGCAAGTCCATAGAAAGGAGGAGATTATGGGAGCCTCCTCCAGGGATAGCTGAGCCAGAATCCAAGGCTCAGGGCTAGAGGTAGAGCAGAGACCATTCTAGAGACTCACCCACATTCTTCCGGTGCCGGACTCTGGCCACCCACACAGTGATGGCACCCACGGTCAGCACCAGGCCCAGAGGCACCAGAGTAGAGAGCAGCACTTGGGAGCTCCTGCCATGTCCCTCCGAGCTGGAAGAAGGATTAAGTCAGTCTATCACTGGAAGGGAGATTTGGAGCTCAGAGCTAGTGTCAAAGCTAGTGTTCCTCCCAGTTTGTGAACTCTGACCTCTAAGCATTGTTCCCCAGCCTCCTTCTCCTTAGAAGCCTTCCTAGACCTGGCAAGACAAGGGCCTAGAACACCCCAGGTCTGGGGGATGGACCAAAGCCTACATGAGGCCAGAGCCATGGGAGGAAGGGGTGAGGGTACCAGTGGGCCCTTGCCTGAGTTGTTCTATGAGAGGAAAGTCCCAACCCTCCCCTCACCTGCCAGCCCCTGCAGATGCCCTGCCTTCCTGGGCTTGGTCTCCTCTCTCCTCCAGCACTGTTTCTTCGACATTAAGCCTGGGATTCACAATAGCTGTGTTATCCGGGGTCAGCTCCCTGGCACCGGGCTCTGCCACCTTCACCTTAGGAGCAGCATTTGTGTTCACTTGGGAGACATCACGGGATCCTACAGCAGAACAGAGGGGAGAAAGGGACAGGTGAGCATCTTTTTCTCCATGTTTTTGTGCCTGAGAACTTAGGGTCAGGACTCAAAGCTGTCAGAGTGGGACCCAGGATAGCTTTAGAAACCGAGGAACGATTGCCTTTTCTAGAGACAATCTCTGCTCCACAGCTACCAACTTCATTTCCATCTTCAAGGCTCTGTCATCGGGGCAGCTGAGAATCAGGGCCAACTATTAATTACTTAGGGTGTATTGAAACCCTGTATTGAAACCCTGCCCCATGCCTTCCAACTACAGGGCTGGGTGTACCAGTGCTGCCACCTGGTGCTAGCCTGGCAACCACCCATGCGCACTGAGATTTCTAAGGGGCTAAGAATATCCTCTTGGGGGTAAAACATTTTATGCAACCTTTTCAAAGTCTGGAAATGAAAATCTCCTGGATGAGGTTGTCATAATTCTTCTGTTTCAGTGCTGGAGTGAAACCCAAAGCCTTGCACAGGCTAGGCACATGTTTTACCACTGAGCTACTTAATTTTCTTTGTCAGATATGTAATCGCAAGTATCTGGACCTATTTTGTGTCTTCGGATGAGGGAGGATGAACATATTTGTATGTGATAGTGTCTCTGAAGTTTCTTTACATAAAAAAGAATTTCGAGGGGCTGGGAAGGTGGCTCAGTGGTAGAGCGCTTGCCTTGCATGCATGAAGCCCTGGGTTCGATTCCTCAGTACCACATAAGCAGAAAAAAGAAACGGAAGTGGCGCTGTGACTCAAGTGGTAGAACGCTAGCCTTGAGCTGAAGAGCTGAGGGACAGCGCCCAGGCCCAGAGTTCAGGCCCCATGACTGACCAAAAAAATAAGTAAATAAAATTCGAGATTATAGAAAGGGACTTCAATCTGGTTTGAAGGGAATCTATGGGATTTGTCTTAATGTTCAAGTTACATAGCAAATGTATTGTTTTTAGTGTGTATGATTGTTACAGATGCCATTTGGGGAGGATTCCAATGATCTCACTCTAACTGAGCTTCTTTATAGCCAAACCTAGGGGCTAACACCGAATAAGACAGGAGTCTCGGATGAGTCCGGACACAAGATGCCAAGGGCATAGGCTCTGCCCTTGGAGACTCACCCTCTGCTGTCTCTTCAACCGCCACATACACAGCTGCAGTGTCTCCATAGGTGTGGCCCTGTTTCACCCCACACCAATACCAGCCCTCATCCTTCTTGGAGACTGGGTTCAGGGTCAGGTTGACGAGCCGGCTGTTCTGGTCGCAGCCCACAGAGGCAGCTTTAGGTCTCTCTTCTTGGCTGGGCAGAGCCTGACAGCCCCTATTGCTCCACTTGCACCAGTATTTCTCATAGGAGTAGAACTTGCATGGGAAATGGCAGGGGATCGTGACGCTCCCTCCCAGTACAGCGGTCACCTGCTTGGGTACCTTGAGGCTTGGCTCTCCTGGAGCAGGGAAGGAGGAAGAAAAAGGCACAACAAGTTGGAAGTTGGAGATGCTGCAGGAAGTGATGGTCAGGTGTCTTTAGTCTGCATTTCCTGTCAAAAGAGCATTGTGAATAAATACATTCTGTTGAATATACAAGAGACAGAGGAGTGATATGCAGGTGTAATAAGATGCTTATTGATACCCACCATGAACCATCTATGGTCTGCTGTAGAACATAGAACCTTGCTTACTAACTTCGCTTTCTGTTCCTTTTCTTCGAGACTCAATAGAAAGAACCTCCTCAGTAGGTGACACCCACCTACTGCAGAAGAAGCCAGTGGCCTTGATCTTAAGAAGTGCTACAAGTAGGAATTGGAAGAGCATGGGGACAGGTTTCCTCTTGAGAACTGTCCCTGCCCATGCATCAGCATGGATGTAGGTGAGATGGGAGGAAAGGTAAGTCGGGAAACGAGATCATTGTGGAAGCTTTCTCCTTGGCCCCAGCCCAGTCATAGCTCTTACCTTCAACAACCTTGAGCTCTGTTGTCGTCCTCCAGCGAGAACCGCCATTGGTCAGGCACCAGTAGAAGCCAGCATCCTGGCTGGTGAGCTTATTGAGGATGACCGTGTAGGTGCCATTGCCTGGGTCTTCAAACAGTGCCAGCCTGCCCTCGTACTGATCCTGAACCAGTCCCTGGCTCTCCACCAGCAGTGGGCAGCGGCCATTTTGAATCCCCTCCCAGCGGCACCAGTACTTCAGGCTGTTGCTTTCCTTAGGGTCGTAGGGGCAGAGCACGGACACAGAACCTCCTTCCACACCCTTCACCACAGAGCGAGTCTGAGGCATTGTGGTCTCTGAAAGCACAGGCAGAGACGGCATGGGAAGACAGTGATCTCTGAATGCCCTTGTGTGGCCTGAGCTGCTTTCCCAGCCAGGGTTTCAGACAAGATGGAGAGGGACGTTTAGACAAAGCACTTCACCCTCAGGAAAATAACAATCATTTCCTTGTGAGTCCACCTTGTTCTGAGCACAGAATATAAGAGAGACTGTCCACCCTTCTCCTTTGGCTTCTTTAAAGAATTTCCCTTTAAATACGTTTTAAAAAATTTTAATCTAGTTCTTAGCTCATCCTACAAAAACAGCTCAATGGATTGTATCTAAGTTAAAACGCTGTATTTGGAATGAGTAACACCGATCATTTATAATGGCCCAGGATTATTGAAAGTCTCCCCCCAAGAAGTCATCCATTCTCCAACTAGTTAATGTCGAGGTCCATAAGGAACTCAGGGCAGGTAAGAAAGTGGGAGAGTGTGACGAGGACTCCAAGCTGGAAGTAGAACGGATGCCCAAGAAACACAGAAAAAGTCACAAGGAAAGATACTTTGATCTTAAAGTACTGTTCACTGCTTCTCATGAAGACAGCACTATGTCCTAAGGTTTGGGGTGAGAAGAACAGGAATTCAGTTATTTTCCATCACCTGTGTCCATGTGGATGGCCCAGCAGAACATAGCTGGTGACCAGATGATGCTGAATGACAAATAACCATCAGATGCACAGGAGTGGAACATATAGAGGCTGGGGTATTGCTTTTCTGGAAATCTTTGAGACCAAGATAGGCCAATCCTTCCATTTGAGCATGAGGGATATGACACTTCTTTGCTCTGTCTGGCTCAAGGGAGGGGAAACCTGGATGATCTACAATTATTGTCTTCATCAGAAGCATAGCTCTTCTTATTCCTGTTATCCAGGAATAGCCACCCAAGAGTCTTTGATAACAGAGAATCATTGGGAGCTAGCACAAAGTAGATAGAGGCTGCATTTGTCTGTACTACGGCCTAGCTTGTATTCATCCCCAGCAAGTAGATATTGTTGACTGGTGGATGAACATTGATGAATAGACTCATGGAGCTAAGCTAGTCTCTCACCTTCTGGACTGCCCACCCTTCCCTCTCCCGCTCTGGGGTCTCACCCTCATTGACGAAGAGCTGCCACGCCTGGATGGGCCAACCTTCCTCCAGCAGACCCGAAGGGTGGGCACCACACAGATAGCGCCCTGCATCTTCCTTCCTCAGGCCTGTTACCAGCACACTAAAGCGACCATTGTTTTCCTTGGGTGTGAGCAAGATCCTGCCCTCAAAGGCTGGATTCCTCTGCCCTAGAGTGTTGATGATCACATCACAGGTGCCTTCCTTGCTCATCTGGCAGAAAAATTTGGCCTCATTGGCCATCTCTGGGCCCAGAGCACAGTCAAAGGTCACTGAGCTCCTTAGATCCCCATAAACCAGCTCTGGTTCAGGCTCTAACACCTGGAGGTCAATGTTCTTTGTGTTAGCACTGGACCCATCCCCAGCCTTGCAGACATACATCCCAGCATCACTGGGCCTCAGGTGGTTGATGATGACTTTGAATTCGGTTTGACTGGTTCCTTGAATAAAAAGTGTTATTCTATCCTTGTAGCTGGGGCTGGTATTCCCAATGGAGTCGACCACTACATCGCAGACCTGCCCTGTCTTCTTGCACAGGGACTTTTTGTTCTTAGCATTCTCACGTTTGAAAGGGCAGCTGATGGTCACTGTTCTTCCCACGTCCTCTGTATAGACGTGAGTGTCATCGAGCTCAGGAGCTGCAGGATGAGGAGCAGAGGAAAATTATGATTTCACATGGGAGCATATTTTCGCTTCCAATGAGTACCTGATTGGTCCTAAGACCTAGAGTGTGCAGATTGCCAAAGCAATACTATCAAACCATATCCATTGGAGTATAGAAAATTATACCCCTAAGTGAAGACCTCAGATGCTAAGTTTCTCTCTGACTTTATCCTGCCCTCCTATCTCCCACTCCATTCTCCCCAATGGCAAGAAGAAAAAAAATCTACAATTTCCAAGGTAGGCTGTGGAAACTAGACCCTTTTAGCTCAAAGCCATCCATAAATACTAAAAATATTACTCTTAAACTTCTATGCATTTTTCTTTGTGATAGCTTGACATAGAGCAAGTCTTGTGTGTCGTTGCTGAAGGGTCCTGCCTCAAAACCCAGGAGGAAGAAATACTATAGCTGAGAGTCTGGGACTAGGAGAACCAAGGAGATTCTGAACAAAGGCTTTACTCCCACTGAGTGTACTGGCATTACTTTACACCTTTTTTTTTTTTGGGTCCGGTCGTGGGGCCTGAACTCTGGGCCTGGGCGCTGTCCCTCAGCTCTTCAGCTCAAGGCTAGCGCTCTACCACTTGAGCCACAGCACCACTTCCGGCTTTTTTCTTTTTGCTTATGTGGTGCTGAGGAATCGAACCCAGGGCCTCATGCATGCAAGGCAAGCGCTCTACCACTGAGCCACCTTCCCAGCCCCATTTTACACCTTTTTTTTTTTTTTTGGTCCTGTCTCATCTTGATCTGGTCATCCCTGCTTTATGTTATGCCTTCTCTTGTTAACTTGTATTTTGTTATAGAAGTGTTGGATATGACCTTTATGATGAGTAAGGTCATTTCCTCCATCTTCCATGGCCCAACTATCTGCCTCCTACAGGAAGCCTTCCCTAAGCTGGCACTAGTCTCTCTCACCTCCTGATGCTTACATCTGGATCACTTAATTCCATCTCTCTAGGCTAGAGTTCATTATGTTTTCCACCAGTTGGAGGGCAGAGATATTTTCATCTGATCAGCCAATACCTATATATAGTAGGTGCCCAAATTAACAAGTATAAACACAGTGAACATTAGTACAGGATTTCAGTGCATTGCAATCAAAGCTTCTAAAACTTACAACAGTCCTAATATGCATGCTGCAGTCTTGTGAAGAAGTGAGTTTCTGCTACTGAAAATGTATTGCCGACATTAGAGTACACTTCAGCTCTGAAGAGTCTATAGGTTTTGAGAGTCCATCCGCACTGGAATGGAATCTTTACTTAGTGCGCAGACTCTCATATCCCAAAGGAGCAGTAGCTATCTTTGAGAGTCCCTCCACATCTCCTCCTTGATACTTTGTCGTTAAAGCTGCCCTGGACTATCCTCAATGTTGAACTCTTGTCAGAACAAGCTTTTCTTTTTCTCTCTTTCTTCAGTTAGAACAGGATTGTTCAGTGGCTTGACCTTTCAGGATCCAAGGTCTTTGATCAAGAATTGAGAATCTGATTTATGCTTTGATGGTTTTAACAGACTAATGATTCTATTAAAATATTCATTTTAAAAGAAACACTCTGGTGACCCAAGGCTTTGATCTAAAGGGTACACTAATGGCAGGAATTTAAGAATCCCTGTCAATATCGCAGTGCCTTTTCTCTCTTACTGTTGATAGACCTCATGTCCCACCTTAACAAAGTTGTCCTCCTGCTAACAGTCTAAGCTAGGATCTCAGTAAAGTCCTAAGATGTTTCAGACCCAAAGACCTAGAAAGATTTACCCACTGCCCCCATCTCAGTCCTGGATCCTATTAGGAAAAGTTTGTCTCAAGGGGAGGAAGCCTTCAGACTCTATGCCAGGATGCACTTCCAGTCGGCAATTCTTCCTCAGCCTCTGCTATTTCCCCTGACTTCTGCTAAAACCCCAGAGAGCCTGCATCCTTACCGTGGCTGACCTCCAGGCTTACATCAAAAGATAGGCCTCGACCATTGACACCCAGGCCGCACTTATAGCTCCCAGAGTCATCCCGGCTTAGCTGAGTGATGTTCACCACGAATGTGCTGGTTTCGGGGAAGTTGGTGAGGTTGGCTCTGCCTGCGTAGTCTTTAGAGACGAAGCCTTCCGAGGAGATGAGAGTCATGCAGTGGCCACTGGCTCCCTGCCGGCACCAGTACTTGCGAGTGTGCCGGTTGACAGAGGTGTTTGGGTAGTAGCACTTGATGGACACTGAGTTTCCTTCCACACTACTCACCTCGGCCGGACCAAATATGGGACTTTTTGTGGAGGCCCCTAAGGAAATAGAAGACAGAATCTTTCTGAGACCCCGGGGAGGCAGCCCTGAGCTGAGGCAGTTTTCCACCTGACAGCCAAACAGCTCCCCCAGTGGCTAAGATGATGGCTTAATCATTATTTCAATTGTAATTCGTTGTAGTTTTAAGGATGATGGATGGAAACATGATATCCTTTTTAAAAAAATACTACATGTGTACTTCTGTTACGTCTCTATGTTTAAAACACTACCCCCTACCCCAAGCATATTAAGAGCCAGGAAGAATAATTGATTTCCTCAATAGTCCCACAGCAGCTCATAAAGATGCTTGATTTAAGATCAAGCTTTTTCTTTAAGAGCTCAAGGACTGATAGTTCCCCAGATTCCTGGCTTGGTGCTAGGAGTTGCCATCTCCCTCCCTAATTTCCAACGCCCACTAATCCATGTCCTAACATAGCCTTAATTGCTTCTGTGTGACTCCTTCCTTGGGAATATACATTTTGAGAGGGGCATCTCTTTGGATAAGTCTATTTCAGTGTATCCAGGGAACTGGATCTTGGAGGGAATGGAATGAAGAAGAAGAGTTCCAGGAAGCTGGCAGACATACCTGGAAAGAAAGCGAGCAGGAAGGCGAGCAAGAAGAGCGTCATGGCTGGTGGCTTCCCAGGAGGCAGCACCACTCAGGCTGACTTCTTCTGTGAGATTCTGCAAGACACAACCACAAGTAGATGAAGCCCTTCTGTCTTCTGAGCCCAACTGGCCTTATGGTTCCTATAATGCCTATTTGGCTTTCTGTTGCCAGCAACCAACATAAATCCTATTGAATGAATGAATGAATTGACATTTCCTTCCCCAGAACAATTCACAGTCTGGCCATCCTACACTATAATTGTTCCTCAGTAATGATGAGTAGCTTTTGTTAAGCTATGCATTCATAATATAACAGGTACTTAGAAACTGGTTTTGTTGAAAAATCCTAACTCCTCACTTGGAACTAAAAGCAGATAAAAAGCCTGGTATCCTTGCCTCCATCCATTTTTTCCTTTGCCTGTTAGTCCAGGGCTTTTTCTTTTTCTCTGCAATTAACTTGGACATAGATAGAAAAGTACCTTGTGACAAGAGTTAAAACTGCTCCCTAACTCTCATATGGTAGATCTAACTTCTCCTTAGAACTTCTCACCATGCAATTTTTCCATGGGGATCAACCAGGCTATACTTTCTGTGGTTCAATAATGATGCGTACATCTTACCTCCTGCCTTGATTCTTCCTGTAAACCTAAAGCTAGCTGTGTGGAATCCATGCTGGCAACCTGTTTGCTGTATGCTCCTCTCTGCCTCATCCAAATATGGTAGCATGTTTATAACTGATGTTTAGTCCTGTGGGTTGGAGCGGCTCGCCTGCTTATCAAAGCACTGTCTTTAACACTGTTCCTTTGAGCTTTATAATTTCCCTTGAAAAATGTATGGCTGAAAGTATGGCTTAGTGGTAAAGTTTAAACCTTAGTACCACAAGATGTATGTGTGCTTGTATGTGTGCATGCTTGTACACACACACACACACACACACACACAAAGACAGATTGATCACAACCACTGTATGGATAAGAGGGCTATGATTGTAAGATGCTGAATGAATGGCGCTCAAGTTTTCCCAGTGACTACGTGATGGGGTTAAAATTAAACATGTAGATGGTGCAGACTTTCCAGCCTAGTGAGGTTGGTGGACTAAGATGGAGAATCCTAGGTAGCCCATTAGGACTTGGTCATTGCCATTAACACAACCCAGGTCTGGGAAGGGTTGAGGCCCAGACCCCTGCTCCTCTTCAGGACCCTAACAACAGCCCGCAAAATCAAGGAGGGAGCGTTCCCCATTTTCTAACAGACTTTGAGGACTTTGACAGACTTTAAACTTTGGAGTGGATTTGCTTAAGAGTGTTAAAGGAGAACACAATGATTATAATCCAGGAGCAGGAGAAAGCCATAAAGATAAGGAGCTAATAAGCAGGAGGGAGCACCGGCCATTATCTCCTCGCCTAGGCTGACTCCCGTACCAGCTACTTCCTTCACCAGCTTGAGCCAAGGGCAATAGAGTTGTGGTTTTATTTTTAATCTTGCTATTTCTTTTCTGAAAGGGAATTTCCAATAAAGGAACTCTTATTTCCTTGTGGAGATAAAGGTATTCTGTTTCTCTAGTTCTCTGGAAGAGGAAAGGATGGAGGTGGGGACAGATAGGAGTGTCAGGTGGCCACCAGAGGCATTCCTCAGTCTGGTTATTTGTTCAGACCTTTCTCACCAGGCCAAGGACAAACTCCTAGAGTGTTGTTTTAGTTGAACTAGAAACATCTCAGGGGTTGCTGGCTGGGGGCGGGGCATGGGGTGGGAGCATTGTCACCCAAATTTGTCTTTCTGAAGAAGTTGGGATGTGCTAGCCACAAAGTCCTTGGAGATTTACCGTTTGCTGTTTGTACTAGCTCTGGGTATAGTCACAGAAGGGAAAATAAAATGCCATATTCTCTTAAGTGCCCAAACCAGCAACATTTAGCATTGGTCCTCAGTATTCATGGGACAATAATGGGGCTTCCCATGGGCTGAACTGGAAGATGTTGCCCTCTTTTGGATTAGTAAATTGACTTTCCTGTGTTACAGGTTCCAGGCTTCCTCTTGTTTTGTGACAGTTTAGGTGACTGGCTGGCTGTGCAGAAGGGGGACAGGTAGGCATACCCCTTACCTTTTGTACAAGCTCAATCCAAGAATCAGAATATCAGCTGTACATACCAAAAGAGCTAACCTCACGGAGAATCATCTCGGCAAGGAGGAATGCCAAGCAAAATAGTCTCTTCCCCTGTTTCCAGGAGAGGCTCCATTTGGAACCATCATCTCTCATGGTAGAGGAACAAGAAGAATAGAGTGAGCTTGGCAATAGATGCATGAAGAAGGGGTCTGAGTGTGGAAGAGAAGCCAGGAATCTAGCATCCTATTCTACCACAGCCTACAAGCAGAGCTCCAAACTTTATCAACATACACTGGCTCACCTCCCTCATCTATAAAATGGGTATATCAGTCTCTGTGTCTTCTAGCTTGAAAAACTAGTGCTCTTGGGATGGGAGAATAACGAGGTGATATATATATGGGGGCACTTTAAATAGCATCAAGTCTTCAATTATAAGAGGTAAAATTACTCTTAATTAAGCGTAGAAGGGCAATGGGGCTGAGACATTGCACACAGACTTTCATTGTTGGTATGTGACACAAATTGCTGACACTTCAGCTTGGCCCTCAGCCCTGACACTGGGGGATCTTGTTATTTGGGGAAGGCTCTTTAAACAGTTTGTCTCAAGTTCATCATCTGTAAACCAGAGACCATTGCATTTCATCTGGAGAGATGCTACCAGGGCACAGTAAAACAGAATACATAAGAAACCTTAGTAAGGTGACAAGCGTTTAAAAAAATGTTACTCTCAAAGGCGGGCACTGGTGGCTCACATCTGTAATCTTAGCTACTCAGGAGGCTGAGTTCTAGGATCGTGGGTCGAAACCAACAGGGCAGAAAGTCCTCATGAGACTCTTATCTCCAATTAACTACTCAAAAACCAGAAGTGGTGCTGTGGCTCAAGTGATAGAACACTAGCCTTGAGCACAATAAGGCTTAGGGACAGTGCCCAAGTCTTGAGTTCAAAGCCCACAACTGACCACAAGAAAAGTTACTCTTTCTTTTCCCCTCTCTAAAAGCAATGCAGTTTTGTATTTCTTCCTGTCTTAGTGTGAGGGGAGAGTAGAAAGCTGTTCGTTGGGCATCTTTTCAAGACTAGGAGAGAGCTATTGCATTATCCATCGCTGAGAGAGAAGATACCGTACTCTGGACTAGCTTAAAAGAACACAAGCTGAGTATTTCTAAGAGTTTTGCACATAATAACAGTTTAATCCTTGCAGCCACCTTAGGAGGTAGGATAAAATGGGAAAGCCCATTTTGCAGCTGGGACAGTTGAGGTACACCAACCTAAGACATTTGCTCAAGGTTGCAGAGTTGCTATGTGACTGAGATGAGATTCCAGATGAAGAGCACGCACTCAGCCACTGTGCTGTACCTCAGAGGGTCCCCCTTTGAGAAGAAGCAGCGGGGAGAGGGAGGAGCAGGAAGTCCTGTCCTGTCCTCTCCTCTTCTCTCTGTGAAGAGACATCTAGACTCAGAAGTAGGGATCAAGAGAGAAAGTTCTCCCTGGAAAGCATTTGCTGCTATTTATTTAGCATCTGCTCTGCAAAGGGTACGTACCTTTATTTCCAGTAACTGGGTCCACTATTACCCATACTTCTCCCTCTTCCCTCCCATTGCACCAATGTCAGTGACTCCTGCATTTCAGCCTTTACTACATCTCACAGAGAGAGAGACAGAAAGAGAGAGAGAATGAAAGAATGAGAGGGAGAGAAGAGCAATTGCTGAACCTAATATCTGGCAATACAGGTTAAGTATCCCTTACATGACATTCTTAAGCATTTTTATTTAGAAGTATTTGGATGTACAAAAAAGAGATCTCTTGGATATCTTAGATATATCTTAGAGACCCAACTCTGAACAAAAATTAATTTATATTTTGTATAGTTTATACTCATAGCCACAAAATAACTTGATATATTTTAATGTGCTTATATTTGGACCAAGACTTGTCATATGCAGGGTGGTATGGAAATTTCCAATGTATCATAATACTTTTCAATGTGTTTTGGGTTTTGAAGTATTTCAAGTTTTGGAATTCGGGACTAAGGATGCTAAATCTGTAATTCGTTTTCTTTTTTAGGGAGAGTGGGTAGAAGATTTTGCTATGTAGACCAGGCTACATAGATCAGGCTACCAGGTCTTGAATATGACCTTCCTGCCCCAGCTTTCCAGTTGCTAGGGTTATAGGTATGTACTGTACCACCGCACCCAGCTATAATATCTTTTTAAAAGTTAGGCAGTGCATTTATTAGATGGTATTAAAATGTCTTCATAACCCGAAAACTGGTGGCTCCTGCCTGTAATTTAGCTACTCAGGAGGCTGATATCTGAGGGAGCCTGCTAGGCAGAAGAGTCCATGAGCCTCTTATCTCCAATTCGCCAACAAAAGAACCAAAAGTGGAGCTATGGCTCAAGTGATAATGGAGCTCAAGTGGTAGAGTGCCAGCCTTGGGGAAAAAAGCTCAGGGACAGTGCCTAAGCCCCAGTACTGGCACACACCAAAACAACATCCTCAGAACCATATCAGAATGGCTTTACTTACGTGTCATCATTCATATTTTCTGGGTGATTGCACATCCCTCATATGAATCATGGGTTTGTGGATGGTTCTGTCAGCTATAAAATAAAATCAAGGAAGCTACTCTGCCTGTCACTGCGTGTGCACATGCACGTGTGTGTGTGGGGGGGTAGGAATGAGATGAGCTATGAATATTTAGGATAAGGGATTTTCTAAGTGGTAGCTGATGTGACCAGACTTTTCATAAACTATCACCACCGAGATCTAGAGGTGCTAAGAGAGAAGATGAGCACAGAGCAAGTTTCTCTTCTGACCCCTGGTTCAATTCTTCCTTCTTCCTCTCTATCCCAAGGCATGAAGAAGCACACATGGAGGAGTCCAGACCTGGCTGTGGTCTGACCCTCTCCTTTGAGTCCCCAGATAGCTGCTGTGTACCAAGACCCCTAGAATCAGCACATCCCCTCCTGAGATCTTCAGGAAGATCTTGCCTCTAGTGAACAGAAAAGCAAAGGCAATAGTTGTCATACAACACGACACCCTGAGTGGCCCCAGGCCCCTGGCAGTTGCAGAAATGGGGCTGGGAGCCAGGGATGAAGCCAGACCAGCTGTGGCCCTTGTATGCTGTCAGACACCACCCTGGCTCAGGGATCCTGCCATGATGGGCAAGCGGGAGACAGGTCATGTTTGAGGCTTTCTGGCTGCTGCCCTGGGCCGGGCCTGGGGCTGTGTCTGCACCTGGGAGATGGCTCTGTGTCTCAGTGAGAGTCTTTTCCCACTGAAAGCAAGGGCAGGATGATACCATGATAAATATTTGTGTTTCTGGTGGCAGGAATCTTTGGAAGCAAGTCTGGCTTGAAATAAGAAAGCATTTCAGAGACTCTAGAGACCCAGAAAGGAGGATTGGATGTGGCCTCCCCAGAAAGCTAGAGAGAGAGAGAGAGAATTTCAAAGACTAGAAGAAGCTTTGCACTCAAGATTTATGCACGTCATCTGAATTCACATGCGTGTGGGGCTCAATAAATATTTGAGGAATCGAAGAAATTGCAAAACAAAATTTCACGACTTTGCTCTAGAGGGCACAGAGCTATTTTATATGTACACACGATGTTGTTTTTGAAGCCATATCCACCAGGAGCAATAGATGCTATATCCCCATTTTCTAGATTGAGCAAGCACCCGAGGGTCCTTGCCGTAGGTCCTGCAGTTGACAAGCTGTAGAGGAGGAAGGGGTATTTGGGGACCCCGGGGAAAGGAAAGAACCCAATCTTATGACCAAACATGCTCCTTCCCACCCACTGTTACTTCACAGAACAGGTTGGGACCAGTTTGCCTGCCTGTCCAGCCTTCCTGATAGCGCAGGGATAGGGATTTCTGTACCACCTTTACATGCGTCCACGCAGTCTTCCCCCCAGCCCTCCTCACAGCCCTCGGGGAAGCTGGGAGACAGGAGCGTAAGGGGAACACCTGAGTTACAATCCCAGGGAGCATCCCAGAGCAGCCACACTTACTTTTAACTACTTCCTTCTTTCCCGTCGGTCCAGCTTGAGGGGCACAGCCTGCCGGCCAGCCTATAACCCCTACCTTTCTAGAAGCTGTCAGCAAGCCCTGGAGAGTGCTGGCAAAACTGAAAGTAGGCTCAGGGTTTGACCCATACCTGGGTTCTTAAAGGGCCACTCTCCCCTAGGCATGGCCACCAGCCAGGGCACGTGACTTTCCAGATAGATCCTTGGCTTTCCTTTCCCTCTCAGCATTCCTGGCTAGCTCCATTGGCTTTCTCTTGACCTTGGGGAGAGACTTTTCTTATTTAGGAATCCATCATGGCAAGTACAGGATATGGGATCGGGGCGTCAAACAGGAAGATCTTTCTCTGATGACACTTAATAGCTGGAAGACCTTTGGCAAGTCACTTGCTTATTTCTTTTCATCTGAATAATAGGCATAGTAGTATCAGATCTACATGTAGAGATCACACATAGTTAGAGAGTAAAGGATGTAAAATGCCCAGCTGAATACACAGTGCTAAGATATTCTATTAATTGGGCACAAGTGGTTGGAATGGCTTGGCTTGGTCTCACATCCCCCAACTCCCTAGGACTTGTAGCTTGGACTGTCACCTTTTACTCACCTTCTACAAAGCCCCTTTTACTAGCTCCAGAGCTCCCAAAAAATGGCAGGCTGAACTTCCAGGAGCTGGAGGGAACTGTGTTTCTCCTCTTTTCACTCCCTGCTGTATCTGGTCTCCTCTGAAGCTGGACTGGCCTCAGAGTCTTGTTAGGCCCGGGCTCAGCTCCAGACAGAGGAGGCACTGACCTGCCAACTTTAGGCAACAGTTTCCTTCGCTGCAGCACTTAGCTCATCATGGTTTACTAGGACATGGTGTGTTGTTTAGATTTCCAGATGTCCCTCACAAGACTGGGGATCATCCCACGTCACCTAAGTGAATGAAGTACACTCCCCAAGGCACATGCATACAACCCCATGCTGCATCACACTCCCCACACAGAAATCCTGCCCCAGCCTACCTGGGCAGGCTTCACCTGGCTGTCCCTTGCAGAGTTCTGCAGGCCAAACCCCAGAACAGGAAGGAGGAAAAGGAGAAACAGAGGCCTAGAAAAACATAGGGAAGTCAGAATCGTGGGTCTTGTTTTAGCTAACCACTCACTCCCTGTGCATATGAACCCACAATCATAGATTTGGAAAGTGACAAAAGAAATCATGCTTTTTGTTTTGGAGCTGAATTTCAGATATCAGCCCCAAAATCTGACAGATGCAAGAAGATACAATCACATAGTCACTTCCAAGCAAACTGTCTAATGCAATACTATCTGTCACTTCATTCCAGATTTGGAGTTCTGTGTCTTTCTAGACTTCCTTCAATTTGTCTTCCTTCTCTCCTCTTGGGTGTCCAGTATCACTACAGAGGCAGTGAGAAGGAGTGGCCCATCGTTTTGGTGTTGCTTTGTCATATTGGCCTAGTGGTCCGAGAAGAAATGTTTCTGTCAACTGAGATGTGATTGGTCCTTCTTGGTCAGTGGGCTTTCCAGGGTCTGCAGGCCTCCCTTTCCCTTCTTGTGATCCCCATAGCTCTGAGATCTTTGAGAGACACCTTGCAACAGAGCTGTGTTTCTTCCCACATCCTTGTAGCCACCTGTACATCAAGATTCCCGTATAATTGGGGGTACAGTGTATATCCTCAAGACTGGGGGCCAGCAAATTTCCATACACAGCAGGTGAGAGGCAGACCTTCTCGGTTCTGGGACTTCTAAACCCACCTGGACATGTATCCTTGTTAATCTCTTTTCTTCCTCTGCAGTCTAGGCTTAGTCCATGATGTATGGCTGCAGGGCACAAAGACACTAATAGCTAATTTTTTTTTCCTCCTTCAATTTTGCTCCATTCGAGAGGGAAATGTGCCGGCACAGTGACAAGAGAGGGATATGTTTGCTTCTGCCAGCTGCCGGCTCCGTCCAGAGCTTCTCAGCCATACACCTCTCTCTATTTGAAATCAAGAGCCAGGATATTTGTAGTGTATGTTTTCTTAATTCTCAGTAATTTGCTTCCCTCAAATCAGAGAATAGCTTGTGTCTAGTTGTCTAGGGTGGAGTAGGGGTGAAGGGAGGTGATTGAGAGCAGATACTTGAGGAGCAAAGACTTGTGGACAGAGAGGAAAGCACCTTCACGAAACCATTGCTTCTCAGGCTGCCTGAAATGGGGTGGATTTTCCCTACTCTATAATGCCGGGGTGGTGGGTAGCTCGCTAGATCGTTCAATGGTGCATGTTCCCAGTTGTCTCAAAACTGTTTTACCAGACCGTGTCATACATACATACATGTACACACACACACACACACACACACACACACACACACACACACACACACACACACACACACACACCTCACATGCCCAAAAGCTTAGCTAAGGAAAAGGGTAAAAGGAAAAGTAGAAACTAGGAAAGAGTCAGGAAGTAAAAGTCCTGTGGCTGATTTGGGGCTCAGCCACATGGTGATGTTGTGATTAGAGTCACCAGCTTCCTCTCACACTGTGGTTTCCTGGTCTAGAACTCATGATTCTAAAATAGGCCCCGTATTGTGTCTTGGGAGAGGAGGGACTTGGTGGCCAAGAGGGTACAACTGCCAGATTCTACATTGATGGCAACAGTGGTAACAGTGCTTTACCAAACTTAGATTACTTCATTTTGCTCAAACTACCTTCTCTTGAAAAAGAATACTATAAGAAACTATATAAGAATACTATAAGAGACTATATAATAAGAAGCACAGTTTCTTATTTACCTCTCTTTTGACTTTGAGACTCAGGAGTCAGTGTAGGTAGAACCAGAGAGACTAGTCTGGGGTCAGCACTCTTTTCTCATGATCCTGGTTCTGCTTCTAACTTGCTGAGTGACCTTTGCCTGATTGCTTCCTCTTTTACATCAGCAGACTTTCATCTGTTGAATGAGAGAGCTGTACCAAATAGTTAACAAGCCTTTTCCAGTTCAACCATTTTGTGTGCCAATTGAGTTGTTGTATCCATCTTAGTGGCTTCAAACAACAGAAATCTATTCTCTCTTTGTTCTGCAGTGTAGAAATCCAAAATCAAAGCAGCAGCGGGGCCACCTTCCTTATGCAGGCTGTGGAAGAGAATTTGTAACCAGCCCTGGTTACAAACCAGTTCCTGGTCCTGTGGCATTCCTGAGCTGCCTCACCATCTTGTCTTCTGCATGTGTCTCCAATCTCTGCCTCTCTCTAGGGAGGGTTCTTGTGAGGGCTTTTAGGACCTATTCAGATAATCTTCATCTCATGATCCCATCTACAAAGACCTTTTTCCCAAAACAAGATACATTTATAGGTTCATAGGTTTAGGTTATAGGGGCAGCTTGGAAAACAAATATTTGCAGCCTATCGTAAGTATCTGTGATCATGACCAGTTAATGATCCAGGGAGTTAAAAGACACGCAGAAGTGTGTCCTCACTTTCTGTGTGTGTCTATCACCCCTCAATTAATGGAAGAGTCACAATCTGTCCAGGAGCCACATGAGCCCTGGAGAGGCAGCACAGCCTTGTGGGAAGTGCATGGGTTGTGCGCGTCCTGAGTTCATACCCCAGCTTGGCCATCTGTTAGCTGGGGGACTTTGGTTAAGTTACTTAATGTCTTCAGGGCTAATTATCCTAACCTCATAAGGATGTTATAAAGATTAAATATAATAGGCAATGGTGGTTGGCACCTAACAGGTGCTTATGATATAGTATTGAACAGGTCAGCAATTGCTTCTCAGAAAACTGAGTAGTCCCTCACTCTTGAAGGGCAGAGAAGTGAAATGACTTGCCCCAATGTGCAAGATGGGCCTATATCCAAATCTTCCAGCATTAGGGCATTACCTTCCACTTCCTAAAGCCTTCCCACTCAGGACAAAAGGGTTTCTGGGTATACCCGTGATTCATTCAGAAAGGATGGGAGGTCTCACGGGATGCTCAGGCCGTCAGTATTAGACTATTGTTCCAAGGACATGGATTGACCCAATCACCAATAGAGAAGGGGACCCCTCCACACCTACCCCCACTTTCCACTACCCATATGGCATGTCTGAGTGTAGCTGGTTCTTGTATTGCTTTTGCCAAGTGAGTAAGATAAGAGTGAACAGATGAAATGCTGTTTGCTGCCAGCTCTCCGCTCTCATTTGCAGCTCTTTGGCTAAGTCAATGTTTAATCCCTGTTTGGAGTCAATATTTAATCCCAGGCCAGCAAACCCTGTAGTCCGGTATTCTGTCAAGCCAAGAATACAGAGTCAGTTTATTAGTAATCACTAAAGAATAGTATCATGACATTGAATCTGCCAACGTTAATAGTCTCTATCGTGTATATGTGTGTTTGTATGTGTGCACACGCACCTATGGGTGTGTTCCAGTACTAGGGCTTGAACTCAGGGCCTTGAGCTCTCACTTGGCTCTTTCTGCTCAAGTCTTGGTGCTCTACCACTTGAGCTCTATACCTCCACTTACAGGTTTTTGCTGATTAATTGGAGATGAGTCTCACAGACATTTCTATCCAGATTGGCTTAGAACCATACTCCTCAGATCCCAGCCTCCTGAGTGGCTATAATTATAGGAACCTGTTCTCAGTTCCATTTTTTCAAAAGAGTATCACCTGCTCAGAATGTTTTCATACTATGTTGGCCTCCTCCCCCATAAAGAGCTTACTATACAGTATTTTCTATGTCAGCTGCTATGCATCAGTGGGAGCACAGCATTTCCTTCCTGTTTCAGCTCAGTCTTGCGCTGGAGGGAGAAGAGTGTGGGATGAAGTTATAGCTTTGGTTGCCCGGCTGGTAACTATGGTGCCACTGGCTAACAACAATCTAAGTGTGTGCTCAGTGCTTGGAATTCCCTCGAAAGGCAGAATTGGAATAGTCCAATTGGCTGGGCTTGGGCAAAATTGTTGAAGCATTTCTGAGCCCAGACTCATATTTGAAGGCCTAAGCTATTTCCCAGCTGAGCCTTCCTATTAGAGGGCATGTGGAAAGAGAGGAGAATTGACTATAATGACTCCTTATTTGCCTGACAATTGTCTGATTCTCTAGAGACTCTAGAATGTGTCTGCCATCTACATCTACGGGAGAACATTCAGAGAACAACAAGGTAAGTGTTGAAGTGAGGGCATGTGAAGGGAAGGAAGAAGACTGGCTAGATTAGTGCAGCCCAGTCTTTGAATGGGGCTAGAAGAGTGACTTAGTGGGGCTGGGAAGGTGGCTCAGTGGTAGAGCGCTTGCCTTGCATGCCTGAGACCCTGAGTTCGATTCCTCAGCACCACATAAGCAAAAAGAAAAAAGCCGGAAGTGGTGCTGTGGCTCAAGTGGTAGAGCGCTAGCCTTGAGCTGAAGAGTTGAGGGACAGCGCCCAGGCCCAGAGTTCAGGCCCCACGACTGGACGCCCCCCTCCCCCAAAAAAGAATGACTTAGTGGACAAACCTATGCATGTGAAGTCTTTTGCCCTAATACACAACCCCTGAGTCACATCCTTCTCCTCGACTCCTTGTGTTACTGCCTGGGTGTCCAGCACCTCACTGTCTAGCTCAGTTGACTCCTAATCAAGAGTGTGAGAATATTTCTGGAACTTTTGGGGTGGAGGGTTGTCATACCCTTTATCATTTGGGCTGGTGTCAGGGCTCCTAAGACAGGCTGAGTTTTATACCCCAGGGAGGCTTTCCAGAGCAAAGAGAGCTGTAAAGCCAAAGGCAAAAGAACCAGCTTTGACTCAAAGCCAAATTTGGGGATATCCACGGGCCCCAGGGAGCTCTTATTTTCTGATTCCCGGAGGCAGGGACAAAGGAGGAAACTCCTCTGAGGTTACCAAACTGCTTTCCTGGCCCACACCTAGCTAGACAGGAACAGGAGGAGGAAGAATTTTGGGGGCGGACATCCAAAACCAACAGGTGAGGGTCAGGTGATAGGGCCCAGTCTCCCTCATAAGCCGCTGGGGTCTCCCCTAAACACTTGCTGTTTCCTTGTTCCTGGTTTGAGCCTGGCCTCCAGCCCAAGGTATACCTGACAGGTAGCCACTGGGAAAAGAGTCACCGTAACACCCAAAGCCTTTGTGCACCTGAGCCTTAGTGGCCCCATCTGTGTAGAAGGGGAGTCTTTCTTTTTGGTGATGTATACTATATATAACTTTTAGTTGTTGGAATGACACTGGTGGAGAAGAGAGCCCAGCAAAGACCAGGCTAGTTGCATTGGTTAGCCAGATTGCCTTTCCCCTTGCAGGCCCCCCAAGAAGTAAAAACTCTTTGATGCCCTTTGCCTGGGCTCTTGTCTGAAGTAGATTACAACATCTTTAGACAAACTTCCCTGGCTTTCTCCCTCTTCTCTGTGATACTTGGCAAAGGCAGGAAGGAGAGAGGTGGCCTTTTTTGAACTTCCCTGCTTACGGCAGGATTTTGGTGGTGCTAAACAGAGGAGGAGACTGGGCAAGGAGTGGGAACAAGCCAGAGTTCAAAGAGGCAGGATGAACCTAATCAGTGAAGGTGTATCGTTAATAAACTGGGACCGGTTGGCCCAAGGTCCTAGCACTATAAGTCCAGCACGTGCCCCTAGGGGTGAGCGTGGGGTCCTCTCCTGCAGCTCGCACCTCTCTGCTGCTTGCATGGATGTTAGCAGCACCCCTACCCTACCCGGCCCTGGAGCATGGGAATTGGAGTGACAGCTGCTTCTGCTATCAGTAAAAGGACCAACACCTTCAGTCATGCTGTGTCATTTAATGAGAAGGAAAGTGGAGTGACACTGGACCCTGCATTCAGAGATACCCAGAGAGTCCACGTCTCTTGATATAGTTTTCGCTCCCCCTTCAATGTTGAAGTGTGTTAGAATCCATCTTTCCATAGAGGTACCTTCTTCTTTGTATTAGACTGAGGCTATTAAATGGACTCTGTATTTCTCAGACCACAGTGACTGTTGAAGGAGAAGCAGCACGTCAGTCATTAGTGGAGGGCAGTGGGAAGTGCGCTTACGGCCTAGCATTTGCCATCAGTAACCTGAGATACATGGACACGCTTATGGATCATTATTTGTACAAAGGCCAGCAAAAGCCTCAGGGCTGGTACCTGAAGATTTAACTCTTAATTCTGGATCCTTGAACTTTTTATTTCATACTTTACTAGAGCAGGATAGCTAGCTAGTTAGTGAGTGAAGAGAAATTATTTTGTGAATGTCTAAGGGAGAAAGGCTGTGAAACTCTATAGATAGGAAAGGACTTGACCCAATGCCCAGGTTATAAAACCAAAGAGGGAGTCAGGTGGTCAAGGATCAGTTAACCCAGCTAATGAGACCACTTTGTGTTCAAGTACCAGTTTGCCTCTTCCCTGGAAGTGTCTCTTAATTTCTTGAGATCCGTCTTCTCTATTCTAAAATAGGAATGGTCATACCTCCCTTTCAGAAATATTGCGTCAAATGCAGACAGAATGTGCCATATAGCAACATGGGAACAGAAGGGAAATTAGCATCCAACAGCCTGGCTCTGATGTAGGAAGGTGTCTGATGCTTTGAAAATCAATGGTTTCCCTGTTTCTTGGATTAGAAATCCTCAAGGTTTCTCCAGTCCCAACCTAGTAAGCAATGCTGTCTTGTCTCTCATTTCAGTGGTGAGAACCTCATGCTAATGAAAGATAAAAGGTGGAAGAAAAACTCTACTGAAGTTGTGGTTCAAGTGGTAGAGTGCCTGCCTACCACGCAAAAGGCTCTGGGTTCAAACACCAGGACCACTGGGAGGAAAGGAAAAGGTTAGAAAAGGACATCTCTGGGGATCTAAGTGATGCCGTTGTCTTGCTCCTGGTTTTGTGTTGGTCCTTTGCAGAGCTTCTGACGGGGCCATGAATCATTTGGCTCATAAAGGACAGTTGTAAGCTCTTGGGGCTGCCCTACTTCCAGAAGCTCTCCTCAGATCTTATCTCCGCTTCCCTTTAAAGATGGCCCTGAGGCTCATCTTGGTCTGCACTGGCTCTTTCTTTGTGCTGATTCCTAATAGATCTCAGCCTTGTCTTAGACAGCTTACTTCTGACACATTCCTGGCTCTAGCCAATTGGCCACTGCCCCATTCTGGGGTGGTCCTTTCCTCTCTCCCCTCTTTTGCCAAGACCAGGCAACCAGACAGAACCCTCTAACTGATCAGAATGGGGCAGAAAGTATAGGGCAATTCAGAGGCAGGCAAAGTTCCCCTAGATGGGTGGCTGGCAGCCTCTTAAGGTGGAAAGGCTGAACCCACACATCAGAGAGACAGCAGAGTCTTACATGGTCTTGTGGCTTCTGTGGAGATTGCAAATTCTGTTTGAGGGCTAAATACAACCTCGTCCTGTTTTCTACAAGATTTTTGTAGAACGCAGCACAGCCACTGTTTAGCTGATGGACTTTGGCTGCTTCTATGTTACTTGGACAGAACTGAATGGCTGCCATGAAGACTGTATAATTGGCAAAGTCTAAAATATTTGCTCTTTGGCCCTTTATAGAAAGTCAGCCAACTCCTGGCTTAGTGCAACAGATTTCACTGACAGTGATATGAGAAACTTTAGTTCAGTGTGATTGCTTTACCAAACATGATAGTCTAACACGTATAACCTCCCCCACCTTCAGAGGTATTTATAATATTTCTTTTTATGTTAAAGGCTCAGAAATTCTGAATAGAAAAATGTAGTTGTTGGCTAATTTAGCATTTCCCAGACTTCTTTGATCTACCAAGTTGTGTTTTCCTCCTAAGACCTTTTAGCATGCTGAGGAGCTGTGTTCATTGGACAACTTGGTAAATACTCGTTGGGTAGAGTGAACAGCTTGAATTTTGGCCTGTATCTACCACTAATAAGCCAAGTAGTCTTAGATGAATAATGTCAGGGCTTCTTCCTTACTATGGGATCATGGATTGAAATAATAGTCTTCCCTGTGTCTCTTGCAGATTTTCAGCCAAGCCCCAAGGTTGTGGCCATGAAACTAGTCTGGAAACATTACTGCAGAATTGTAGAGTTTTGACCGTGAGTCTTGCTTTGTTACATCGCTTGCACAGCAGTGCTCCGTTCTAACAGTGAACTGGCAATGCCAGAAAAGTAAGGCCGCAAGTTCTGTAGTAGTGACTCTGCTCTCACTAGCTGGCTTCCCTGACTTCAACAAGGCCTCTGTGTCCTCACTGCTAGGCGGAAGGATTTAGGAGTTAATCTCTTACGCAGTTATCAGTTCTGTGGTTCTACTTGGTCAGATGCGTGCAACCTACTTTTATTCAAAACAGGAAGTCTGCCCTAGAGGCCCTGCACAGCCTCCCTTAGCTTTCTGGGTTCAGCATCCAGGGTCACAACCAGATAGATAGGAGGAAGGGTTGTTACTGAAGGGTTTGGATGCTGCTGACAGACTAGAAGGAGGGGCTGAGGGTTTTCTGGAGATGTCTATATCACAATTCCGATTCCATACTGGAGCCTTTCCCTTCTGCTCCTGTTGCTCAAAGGGCTGCTCTGTCTAACCACAGAGTCCAGACAGCTTGCTAACACATCTGTCAAGAGAACAAAAAAGAAACCAGATGTGATTTCTGAAAAGTCAGTGGGGTTATGGGAGGGAGAAAAAGTTCCCCAATGTCCATGAGATAATATGGTTATAAGACAGAATCCACATAACATTCCTCTCTTTTGTTCCCAACCTCAACCCTTCAACATTAATTTCCAGTTTTGTTAACAGTCTTTGAGCTTAAAGACTCATAAGTGAACAAGAAGGACTTTATAAAGAAAGTAAAAATTTACCAAAAAGTACTTTCTTCTATGAATTTAGGAAAATCCCAGAAAATCTTGATTGGGTCACAAAGTTTGTAACACAATGTAGATGGGGTTAAATGCGGGCTAAGCATTCTTTCCTTTGGTCTCAACAAAGAAACCACCTGTTACTAGAGACCCATCTGGGGCCTCCCAGATGACAGGGCAGAGACCCAGGGAAATTCAGAGCTCTTGTCTGGGTGAGTCCCCAGAAGCCACTGAGCCCATTCCTTCTCAGACAGCAAATCAGCCACAGAGAGATACTAGGATCCTACTGAGCTGTAAGTTCTCTGGAGACTTGCGGTGAATAAAATACAATTATTGTTCTTTTTGTGAGGGTATGCTGCTGCTGAGGCTTGAATTCAGTGCTTAGGCACTGTTCCTTAGCTTTTTTGCTCAAGGCTTGTGCTCTACCACATGAGCCACAGCTCCACTTCTCATAATTACTGCTCTAAGTAGCTGAGTCTCTACTTGAGCAAGCATAACTGATAGAGACGGTCATTAGTAAATATGAGTAGCAGATTAAGGCTGAATAAACATTAGAAAAGTAGGGTTAACATTGATGGCCAAAAAAAGTTGTTTTCCACACTGTTGGAAGCTTCCCGAAATGGAAATTTCACACGTATCCCAGGTGGCTTCTTCTAGTGTTTCCTAGGTCTTTTCTTGAAAGCTTCTTTGAGTCATATTGTCACCGATGGAGACAAGTAGAGAACGCTTGAACTTCCAGGGCCCAAGATGGCCAACCTCCTATTCCCTTTGTGGGCTCTAAGCTCTGTTCACTTGTCTTCATGCAGGTGGAAGAAGGAAGATGAAAAGGGCTAGGATCATAAGGTTGTTTGGTCCTAATCTTTGCTCTGTCGTAACTGAGCTGTTTCCATTTCTCAGGGTCCTGGGTCCTTTTCCTGGATGGTCAGGCTGGCTTGTATAGGAGGAAAGTCACGCAGTGCTTTCCCTTGCACATGGAAGAGTTGCTTTGGTTGGAGGGTTGACTTCCAGGAGATGTGTCATCTGAATCAGAGTGACTCTTGGTGCCCTTTCTGCTTCCTGAGCTACAGAGACACAAGGCAGAGTATGAGAATTCTGGGTAGACATTGCTGAATTTGTTCCTGCAAACTCCCATGTACCACACGTTCCTGAGAGCTCCCTAATAACCTAAGATTAGCAGTAAGACATTAGAACAATCATTTTTAGGCCAGACCTTCAGCCTCCCAGCTCTAACAAACTCAGCCTCCCTCATTTATTCCCAGAGATTTCCTTTTCTGTATCACATCTACACCGCATGAGGCGCTTACTTCAGGATAATTTAAATGTGGTGCCTTTCTGTGAGATTACCTGTGGGGCCATCCACAGGGGGCATTGTAGACCGTGGCCCCAGGACTGGCCTCTGCACTTGTGTGCTCTGTGGGTAGAGCTGTCTCCATATCTATGGCTAAAGTAGCTCCACTATCCTCCAAAGAGCTTCTCCTTGAGCTCTGGATACCATTGAGCCCTAAGTACAAAGATGATGTCCTATTTTGCTAATTAAGAAACCAAGTCAAAGTGGAGGCAGAGCAAGATGTCAGATTTGAAGCATCTACCACTCTATGAAAGAGAAGACTCTGATAACACAGACTACACTAGATTCCAAGGAGAGAAAGAGAGCCAGGAACCATGGAACTGATTGAGAAGAAGGAGTGTGACAGGGTCCTACAGAGGCATTTAAGTTACGAGGAACTGCAAAGGCAGTTTAGACAACAGAGGCAGTGGCCTCTGTCAGGCAGACATGAAAGAAGTGATTGGCAGGGATGAGTTTGGGACTCCCTATGTGGGCACACAGCAGAGGCCCAGGTGTGGCAGTAGCTCTAGTCATCCACAGGGGTGTGTGACTGTGGCTCAAGATGCCCAGCAGAGGTGCCATTAGAGACAGCTGTATTCATCTAAAGATACTAGAGCAGTAGTAGTGACTCGTCTTTGCTAGGAATTGCCACCACACATGCACAAGGTTGTGGCTTTATCAACTGCAACAGTTTTACAGCCTCGTTTTCTTACCCTGAGTTTTAAATATACCACAACCCAACCATTACCCAGTCTTAGGTAACCTCTGAGAAATCATCAATTAAAAGGACATAGGAGGGGCTGGGAAGGTGGCTCAGTGGTAGAGCACTTGCCTTGCAAGCATGAAGCCCTGGGTTCAAGTCCTCTGCACCACATAAGCAGAAAAACCCGGAAGTGGCGCTGTGGCTCAAGCAGTAGAGTGCTAGCCTTGAGCTGAAGAGCTGAGGGACAGTGCCCAGACCCAGAGTTCAGGCCCCATGACCAACAAAAAGAAAGAAAGAAAGAAATGGACATAGTATGCTGAAAATTCCACCTAAAAGCTACTTCTTAGATGCACAAATCTCAGTGAAAAGAATTACAAAATTCATGAGTAAACAAGGCAGCATATGTCCCTCAAAAGCCAATAATTTTTACAATAAAAGGTGTAAATGATAGTAGTGAGAAAGAAATTCCAAGCAAGTTCAAAAAAGCAGTGACAAGAATTATCAATAAATACAATTGAAGAAATGTCTAAACAGCCAAATGAACTAAAAGGGAATACAAACAAACAAGTAACTTAGTTCAAAGAGAAATCAGACAGCTGAATGAAATAAAGAAGACAACACAGAATATGAAAGTGGAATTCAATAAAGATATAAGTCTCAAAAACTCCGATTGAAATCTTGAAAATGAATAATTCAATATCTTAAATAAAAATACTTCAAAGTCTAGCTAAAAGAATAGAACAAGTTGAAAATATATTGTCAGGGACTGAAGATACAGCAGAGGAATTAGATCAATCAAAACCCTTGAAAAATAAAACAGAAAAACACTAAGAAAAGACAAAGGAAGTTATAAGACTTCCAGAGATACCATCAAAAGGCCAAATCTATAGGTAATGGGTACAGAAGAAGGTGAAGAGATTAAAGCTAGAGCTAGATTAAAATTATAGCAGAAGACTTTCCCCACCTTAAGATAGGGTCGTCCAGGTAGAGGAGGCTTCCAGAATACCAATCAGTCAAAGTCAGAGAAGAAACACCTCTAGACATAATATAATTAAAATACAAAATATAGAGAACAAAGAAGGAATATTGAAAACTGTGAAGGAGAAATGACAAGTCACATATAATGAATGGCAAACCCATTTGAATAACAGCAGGTTTCTTAGTACAAAACCACAGTGTCATTAAATGGCTCAGACTAGAATATAGCTCTTCCAAACCACATTTTCCCTAACTATGGGGATACTTAGCACCAACGCACAGGTCCTCTTTCTCCAGATCTTCCTTCGTATCAGGACAAGAGCCACGAGCAGAAACAGAGCCAGCATCGTTGAACCGGGAGTCAGGATCCAAGAGCTGCTTTCCTCATCTGGAAAAGCACTGGAGAGGAAGGGGTCAGGGAAGGGAAGGAAGAACACAAGAGGAGAGGTTGGAGCTGGATAGAAGATCAAAGACCTTTTGGCTCACGCCTTCCATCTCACAGGTGAGCAGGCTGAGGTTCAGGCAAGTCAGCTGCCCTGGTGTCCATACGGGTTAGTAGCAATGTTGCTGTCCTCGGATTTTGAAGTCCCAAATCCTCTGCTTTACCCCACGCTCCTATGTGTGGGCCATAGTATGTGCCACGGTGAGAAAGAGCACAAACAAGTTTGGGACTCAAGCCACTATCTTTCCTTATGGCTTCAGTAAGTCCCCTTCCCTCTCTTAATCTTCTGTTCTTCATCTTTAAGCCTTAGACTGTCCATTGTGGTTTATGCCCATAATCCCATCTACTTAGGAACTAGAGATCAGAAGGCTCAATGTTCAAGGTTATCCTCAGGAAAAAAAGTTAATGAGATCCCTTCTCAAGAAATAATCTAGCCAGCACCGGGTGGCTCATGCCTGTAATCCTAGCTACTCAAGAGGCTGAGATCTGAGGATCACAGTTCAAAGCCAGCCCAGGCAAGAAAGGCTATGAAACTCTTGTCTCCAGTAAACCACCAGAAAACTGGAAGTGGTGCTGTGGCTCAGTTGGTAGAGCGCTCGCCTTGAGCTGAAGAGCTGAAGGACAGCGCCCAGGCCCAGAATTCAATCTCCATGACCAAAAGAAAAAAAATAATCTAGATGTGGTGACACACTTGACATCCAGCAACATTGGTGTCATAAGAAGGAGGACTGTGGTCTGAGGCTAACCCTAGGCAAAAACATGAGCTCTTATCTGAACAATCACTAAAAAGCAAAAGGGCTAAGTTGTGGCTCAAGTAGTAGAGTACCTACTTAGCAAACAAAGGCCCAAGTTTAAACCCTAGTAGTGCCAAAACATGAAAGAGAAAAAAAAAGAAAAGAAAGAAAGCAAGAAAAAAAAGAAGTGCCAAAGGTTCCAACCTACAAATTCTATTGTTCTATCATTTAGGTTTTGCTTGTGCCAGGCACTGGTGATTCATACTTATACTTCTAGCTACTCAAGAGGCTAAGGACTGAGACTTAAAGCCAGCCCAGAAAGTCAAAAATTTGAGATTCTTATCACCAATTAACCAGAAGAAAAGCCAGAAGTGAAGTGTGGCTCAGGTGGTAGAGCATCACCTGTGAATGAAAAAGCCAAGCAAGAGTATGAGGCCCCTAGTTCAAGCACACACACACACACACACACACACACTTTTCACTCAAGTGGCATTCTCATAACAAAGGCCCTTGAGTAGTAGCTGATGTTTATGTCTTCTGGCCTTTACTATCTTGTAAGTACAAAGGGAGAGACATGTATAGACATGGCATAGGTCAGGGCAGATGCAGGGTCCCCACCCAAGGGAGAGGTCTCAGGCTCACCTCTTCATGGAAGCCCCCTTGCCAGTGGGCCTCAGGCGATCTGTTGCTAGGGCCTGGCTCAGTGTTGCTTGGGAGCTACTATCTCCTTGGAGACCACCATATCCCACAGTAGTGCTGTCTAGGTTCTGGTCAGTGCTTCCTTTCACAGATGCTGCATCTAAGTGGGGGGTCTCCAAGGTCCATGTGCCTGGAGCCAGAGTTGATCCCTCCACAGAGCCCAGGGCTTGTTGCTGAGAAACCACTAGTGTTTCTCTAAGGATATCCCAGGGAGCTTGTGCTGACATCAAGGCCGATGGCCTTGTGGTCTCTGTGGTCTTCCTGGCTGTCCCCAGAGCCATCCTGACTCTCTCTGTTCCCTCCCCTGGCCAGTTGGCCTGTGTAGTTGTCATCTGGGGCTCACTCTGTGTGATCCTAATGTCATTTGTTACTGATCTCCCGGTGCTCTGTGTCCATGCATCCTCTGGTGTACGGGACAAGCCTCTGTGATTTAAAGCTGGACTCTCCACAGTGGGGACTGTTGTCTTGATGGAGCCTTCTGCCTGGCTGTGCATTACTGGAGCTACTTCCCTGTCTGTCCCTGGGCTTTGTCTTCTCTGGGTTTTGCTGGTTTCAGCACTTGGAGCAATTCTATCACATTCTTGAGTCTGAGGAGGTCCTGGGGTTCCTGGAGATGCTGTCCCAAAGGATGCTGTGATGAGTTTACTGGGAGCTGGAGGGGTTGTGGGGGCCATGTTGGAAGGACCTGCATGAACAGTAGAGGGAGACCACAGGGGAAGGCTTTGCAAGCTGCTTACTGGGTAGAGCAAAGGGCAGTAGCTTTAAAACGTTTGCCAAATATGAAGCAACTACTAAGAGATGCACTCTTTGGTCAATATGTCAGATAAAATAAAAAGGTTCAAATCCAGATGTGTTCTCTAATCTCTTGCAAATGTAGACACATATTCTTAAGCTCCTTTTCTTTTTTTTTTCGTTTTTCTTTTTCTTTCTTTTTTGTTTTGGTTGTGGAGTTTGAACTCTGGGCCTGGGCGCTGTCCCTCAGCTCTTCAACTCAAGGCTAGTACTCTACCACTTGAGCCACAGTGCCACTTCTGGTTTTCTGAGTGGTTTGTTAGAGATAAGAGTCTCACAGACTTTCCTGCTTTGAACTGTGATTCTCAGATCTCAGCCTCCTGAGTAGCTAGGATTACAGGCATGAGCTACTGGTCCCGGCCCTAAGCTCCTCTGAGTTGCATATATCTTCTACCAGTCAACATAGGAAACCATGATAGCTCTTTCCCCAGAGGTATACAGCACATCAAGTACTGCTTTTCAGAAAAAGAAGCCAGAGTCAGGTGCAGTGAGTTAGCTCTGTAACCTATTAGGCCAAGCAAGGCAATAAGTTAGCAATAAGTCAATTAACAAGCTAGGTATGGCTGTACACATCTAGGAACCAAGCCACCCAGAAGGCACAGGTAGATAGATCTTAGGCCAGCCCTGCATGACAACATGAGCCCTTACCTGAAAAGATAACTAAAGCGAAAGAGGGCTGGGGGAATGTGGCTGTATGTAGAGGGCCTGACTAGCAAGCTAGAGGCCCTGAGTTCAAACCCCAATACTGCCAAAAAATATAAAAACAAAGAAGCTGATGTGATGATAATCTCACTTGTAGTCCCAGCTGAAGCAAGATGTTTATGAGTTCCAGGCCAGCCTGGGCTACATAGAGAATTTCAGGTCTGCTGCCACTACATTGTAAGGTGTTGTGTGTCAAAACACCAGCTAGCAGGCCGTTTCCTAACGCGCCATTTCTTCTGGAGAGTGGCTTTCACACTGTAAGGCTCTTCTTTGCCCTTTTAAGTACCCGACTCTGGATCAACCTTCTGGAATTTTCTACACAGAGCCTGGGCTTGAGAGCTGTCCCTTTTGTCTGCAGAAGAACTCAGCAAGGGTCTGTCACGATAGGACGCAGTTCCAATTCCCCTGTCTGGCCTGTTGTGGCTCTTCTGCAGTGTTGCCCCCTTTCTAGTTTTTGGTTTTTTTTGTTTTGTTTTTCCAGTCCTGGGGCATGAACTCAGGGCCTGGGTGCTGTCCCTGAGCCAGTTTGTACTCCAGGCTAGGACTCTACCACTTGAGCCACAGTGTCACTTCTGGCTTTTCTGAGTAGTTGATTGGAGATAAGAGTCTCACAAATTTTCCTGCATGGGCTGGCTTTGAACCACGATCCTCAGATCTCAGCCTCCTGAGTAGCTAGTATTACAGGCGTGAGGCACTGGCACTGGGCTGATACCCCTTTTCTTTGTATGTGTGAACAGGGAGCTTTTAGAACCCTAAGAAACCACACTATCTAAGTCACTACTTCCTTGAAACATACCTCAAATACAGATTCCACGGCATTTGCTGGCGGAAGGGCCAGGTAGAATGGCATGTATGCATTTGGTTCGGAAGGGCTTGTAATAGCTACCTTCTTCCTGAAGGCAGCTTCCTTCTCAGCTGCAAGCCTGCCTTTTAGAGCCTTTGCCCTGGGTCCAGCTTTTTTTACGGCCTAAGGTTTAAAGCCTTCCTGGTCTCAGCCTTCTCTTTCACCTTTCCTATCCTAGCTTTGACTTCCCAAGTTTGGCCCATCAGCCCCCAGCTCATACCTGCAGAGATGATCAGATTCATGTTGAGGAAGAGCAAGTTGTTTCTATTTCCAATACCACAGCGATAGTGCCCCTCATCATCCAGGGTCAGCCGGGAGAGCCGCACCTCGAAGAAGCAACTGCGTGGGAAGTCTGCTAGAGCCACACGGCCAAGGTACTTGTGGTGAGTGTAGTAGTTGGTGGACACGATGGTGTGGCAGATCCACCTTGGAGGCCCCAGACGGCACCAGTACTTCCTTTGGTGCCTGTTGACAGGTAAGGGGGTATAATGGCATTGGATGATGACAGCTCCCCCGGCTTCTCCAGACACCAGCCTTGGGCCCTTCAACACATCTGCAGCTGCAGGCAAAGAACATTGTCAAAGGAGTCAGGTCAGAAAAATGCTACCACAGAAGTGGGGCTGAACCCATGTAGACATGACAGAGCTTAGCCACTGGCGAAGTAGAAGTCACCCCAAGAAGCAGAAGAAAACACTACCTGAGGTCCCATCTAAAAGATGCAACAAGAATCATACCCACTGTTTATCTAATGCTAACTGGGCCTGAGTGTTCTCATGCAAGTCCATCCAGAGCCTGGGTTCATTCCACCGTGCAGATGTTTGAGCAGATGCTGCCTGCGTGCAGGTAAAAGGGAGGAGCAAGCCTCTGACAGAGGCCTGGGGTTTGCATGGGATGGAAAATAAGGATGCTACACAGTGTGGACATAACAGCATGCTTTTCCTCTGAAGAGAGAGAGAGCGACAGAGAGAGAAAGAGACAGAGACAGAGAGACAGAGACAGAGAGACAGAGAGACAGAGTTCCCCAAACACAAGAATCATGCTAGGCTTGGGGTGGAGGAAGGGCAGGTCCACCTCCAGACTGGTAGCCATGAAATAGTTCACATTGGACCCTTTTCTATACAAACAGACAAGCAAACATAGATGAATACAGACCCATACAGCTGAGCAGGATTATGAATATCACTGTAGCAACAAGCACAAAGACAAGCCATAGGAAACCTCAATACCTTGCCACAATACAGAATGACTCCCTACAGGGTACCTCCTTCTAATTGCTTTGCTGACTTCTCTGGATCTTGATGCAATCTCGGACATAACTGACTGGATTGTAGTTTTCTTTGTTTCTCTTGGAAATGAAATTCAAAAGTTTAATCTAGTCTAAAATTATATATCCAGAACAATCTGACAAAGAGTGACAGCGACCTTTTCTTACTCCATCAAAGCTTTTCCCCTTTGTCCTGTATCTGTAGGGCCCCTGAACCCAAGAAAAACCTGTTTACTATCCTATTGTCAGGAGCAGCTAAGTTATGAGTCTGAGTGCAAACTAAACATGCAGTATGCCTTGTCCAAAATTTATTAGGGATTTCAAGATGAGGCTGGGTATGGTGGCCCATGCCTATAATTACAGCACTTAGGAGTCTGAGGCAGAAGAATCATGATTTAAAGCCAGCCTGGGTTACATATTCAGGACCTATTTCAAAAACAGAAAAAAAAACCCACAATGGCAAGAGCAGAATGTTGAGTCAAGAGCCTTTTTAGAACAATCATATGTGACCTGCCTATTGTAAGCACTTGCTACAGGAAAAACAGAGACCATAAGTTCAATGGCTATATTAATCCCATTGTACGTTTAATTAAACAACACACCCCAAGTCATACCACTCACGGTAAAGATAAGTGGAAATTTACCACTAAAAGGCCAGAATATTCCCGAATATCAACTGGAAGCTATCTCAGAATAACAAAATCGATACTCTCATTAAACGTTCATAGCCCAGATTTCAGGTGTTCTTCTGACATCCATGTGGGGATCTGACTTTGGCATAGAAAGCTGATGAACAATCTTTAATCAAGGTACATTGAAAAAAATTAATACCCAAGTTAAAAACTCATGTGGTAGGTTACTAACCCATTGTTCCTTTTTTGATATAATAATTGAAGTGTTATACAATTCCATGTTAGTCACCTGTGAAACTTAAACAATGGGCTAGCACGGTAGAACCAATATGGTATCACCAACGTGCTTTGACCAGTTTTCTGCCCCTTAGAGTATGTAGTAGAAGTGCCTGGCTCTCACATCCATCATTACCCAGCAGTTATCTATTGCTGTGACTTCCATTAGAGCACTGGAGGAGGCCTGTGGCGGAACAAAGAGGAGGAAGGGATGTACCTGCGAAGGAATGCTCGTCAGGCCAGAAGGGTAATGAGGATGGAAACGTGTCCACAGCACAGAGGTGAGTCTTGGAGGGGAGAGAGCCAGCCCGCCACCATCTGAGATGGAGATCTTTATGTGAAGGCGCTGAGGATGAGCCTGGGCAAAGAGAGGAGCTGAGCCACAAGTGTCCACAAAAGCACCCACAAGAGGAAGGTAAGGAGCCAAGTCTAACCCCTTGCCCTCAGCCCTGCCTGTCGGAGTGGCCTGTCCTCTGGCCTCCCCTTCCTCTATTATTCTGACTGCGTTATCCCATGGGGAGAGGGAAGGCAGTGCCACACCCACTTCCAGTCTACAGGGGATGTAGGAGGCATGTCTTGGGATCAAGGCTAAAATGCTGACCGACATATTGAACTGGATATTTGACATGATCAAATTTAGAACACTCAAGACTCAAAGCAACTAATTTTGGACTATAATCTAGATGTCGGCAAGAATCATGGGTCTGGGCTGGGAAGGTGGCTCAGTGATAGGGTGCTTGCCTCCCATGCATGAGGCCCTGGGTTCCATTCCTCAGACCACATAAACAGAAAAAGCTGGAAGTGGTACTGTGGCTCAAGCGGTAGAACATTAGCCTTCAGCTGAAGAGCTCAAGGATGGTGCTCAGGCCCAGAGTTCAAGACCCTCAGCTGACAAAAATAAATAAATTAATTAATTAAATTTGATTAAAAGAATCATGATCTGCCTGATCAGAGACAGGGAAGCTTATATTTGCTTTTAAAAAAATGAAAAGGGAGCAGTGGGAGATTAAGCAGGTGGTATGTCACATTTCTCAAATATTAGCTCTACCATTGATTCATTAAAACTGATTTGTCTATTCACCAGACATGATTAATCTCTTTTTTTAACACAATCATAAAACATTTTCCTTCATTTAATAGTTGTTTCTTAAGTCTACTGGGGACGAGATTCTAGAGAATAGACCCTCTAGCCACATACTATGGCTACCCATTACCTTTAGAATAAAATCTGAGCCTGAGCTATACATGGCCAGCCTTACTACCACAGCTTGCAAGGATATTTAGGACAGAAATCCTATCTTTCATTAAAATATTTTTTGATCCTGGTGCCTATTTTTCATTTAAAAAATTGTCTGTTTTTTTTATCCAAGTGCCTATAATCCTAGCTACTGAGGAGGCTGAGATGTGATGATCATGTTTTCACACCATCTGGGGAAGGAAAGTTTGTGAGACTCTTATCTCAGTGGAGCTGTGGCTCAAAGTGGTAGAGTGCTTGCCTTGAGCAATAGGAAATTAGGGACAGCCCTAAGTTCAAGCCTCAGAACTGGCACACACACACACACACACACACACACACACACACACACACATTGTCCATTGTCCCTAGTCTCTGGCACACAGTCAATCAAATAAATTAATAAATACAATTTTTGACCCGATTAGTGCCTTCGTAGACAGAACTCTTTAAGACTAGGGTAGAGCCATTATCATGTCTCTAATCTGGAATGAAGAAGAGTGAGAAGAAAGTAAGGCTATGTCTGTATTTTACACACTCTGAAGTCTCCTGAAAAAGTAGCTGATTAATGGTCTTTGTTTAAGAAAGCAGAGGTGTGGGGAACATGACAATATTGGATGTTTTAGATATTATCAGGTCAGGCCTAGGTCCTGTCTGGGAGTTCTCCTCTCCCTCATTCCTGCAGTGTCTAATCTGACCACACTCCCTAAATCCACTGCAGGGCCTTAGATCTCAGCATCCCAGACCCTGACAGCCATAGATCTACCCAGACTGTACTGAGTTTCCTTGAAGTACCCTCCAGGAATGTGTGTAGTCTAGAAGATTCAACATGGATATGTTTAGAACTTACCTTGTAGCAGGCACAGTATGAGGACCAAGATCATTCTCCATCCTGTGCTCTGGTTTGTGACCTGCAAAAGCAAAACAAAACAAAAACAAAACCATCATATACGGAGAAAAGCCCAAGGGGAGGCAAGTGAGAAGCTGGTGGTGAGCCGTGGGCCGGGCGCCCTCTCATTTTGGGAATCTGTTTGCCCTGAGCAGGAGCTGCGTAGTTGGATATGCCCACGCGCATGACGAGAACAACCCTCCTTGGGAACGCGTAGCTATATCCCCCATTCCTACACACGCATTTCGCCTGAGTGACTGTCACTATGGTGAAATGTCCCTTGTCATGAAGCTTCTGTGTTCAGGAGAGACAAAACACCCTCTATAGCACCCCAGCCCCAGGACCCACGTGCCCGTAGTACAGCCCTGATTTTGGAAAGAGAATCACAGAGTGGAGAGAACACATTTTGGAAGTTTAAACTTGGTTGGAATTAGAGGGTTTGGAGGATACAATCTCGGGGATCTGCCTCATCTCCAGGGGGGATGAGGGGTGACTGCAGGAGAGTGTGGTCAGAGCAGCTGAGCGTGGCGAGCGTGGGAACAGCATTGCTTCCCTTCTCTCCTCACCCCTCCATGCTGCACAGGGGACTTGGTGCCTCCAGGGAAAGCGTTCTGTGTCGCAGTTAGCACACCTCCATCAGGAAGATGAAATGAAAATTAAACCTCAGGCTCAGTTGCTGTTGGTACTTTTCTGCTTCTGCTTCTAGAAAGCTGCTCTCTTTCCTATAGTCCATGCTGCTCCTCCCTGCCTGGCCTGGGCAGCTCCTTAACGCCAGGGCTTTGTGTCTTGGTCTTTTTTCTACCTTCAGCCTCTGGACCAGGATGTAGCACACAGTGCAGAGACTGTGAACAGGGCCCCACTGCTCCTTTAATGGACACTGTAAGGACCACTCCCCATTCAATTATCTTTTACTGCTAATTTAAAAGACAGTGAGGGGCTGGGAAGGTGGCTCAGTGGTAGAGCGCTTGCCTTGCATGCATGAGGCCCTGGGTTTGATTCCTCAGCACCACATAAGCAGAAAAAAGCCAGAAATGGTGCTGTGGCTCAAGTGCTCCAGAGTTCAGCATCCCCCCCCACCCCCCCACCCCCACAAATGACAGCGACTGTGCATTACCTTTTCTCTTTAATTTCCCATAGGATAGTCATGGATGGTTTTTGTTTATTTATTTTTGGGTCCGGTCGTGGGGCCTGAACTCTGGGCCTGGGCACTGTCGCTCAGCTCTTCAGCTCAAGGCTAGCGCTCTACCACTTGAGCCACAGCGCCACTTCCGGCTTTTTTCTTTTTCCTTATGTGGTACTGAGGAATCGAACCCAGGGTTTCCTGCATGCAAGGCAAGCGCTCTACCACTGAGCCACCTTCCCAGCCCTCATGGATGGATTTTGATAGATTAAAAAAACAAAAAACCTGCTCTGTCTAGGTGCGGTGGTGCATACCTATAATCCTAATGCATGAAAGGTCGAGGCAGGGGGATCACAAGTTTGAGGCCAGGCTGGACTATGTAGGCTGGACCTATCTCAAAAAAAAATCTACTGTTTGATTCTATTTACGCTTACAGTTCTTCCACCCATAATAGGCCATTGCTTTTCCCTTCCTACTAGAATCCATACTTCTTTCATGTTAAAGACAGTCAGTGCACCAACTGTAAGCCAGTGGCTTACCCCATAGCAGAAACTCTTTGACCTCCAACTAGACTAAGTCAGACAAAGCCAATGCCAGCTTGGAACATAGGCTGTGCAAGAGGAAATCCAATCAGAAGAAGAAAAGCAGAGGAAGTAGGAGGGGAGAGGAAAGGAAGAGTAGAATGTGAAAGAAGGGGAAAGGAAAAGCATGAAGAATCTGGGGTTAGGGTATGGCTCAAGTGTTAGAGCACCTGCCTAGCAAGATGGAGGTCCTAAGTTCAATCCTCAGTACAAAAAAAAATAAAGGGAGGGAAGGAAGAAGAAAGGAAGAGAAGAGGGGAGAGAAGAAAGGATGGAGGAAGACAATTGGAAGGAAAATAAAATATGTGCCATTTATATCTCTTAACATGAGCAAAAATGAAGTTCCCTTTTGAAAATAAAATGTTCTTGCCAAGTGTGGTGGCTCACACCTCTAATCCTCACACGCAAAAAGCTGAGAGGCAGGGAGCTGGCACGTTGAAGGACAATATGGGCCACTTAGAAAAATGCTGTCTCAAAAAACTCAAGGAAAAGAGCGGAGAGGAAGGGAGAGACAGAGGTGAGTCTGGGCTGGCTCGGTGACAATTGCCACCTGGCTTAGCTTTGCCCAGTCACATCCACTAAGGCCTTTGAGTCCCTAGAGTGTCCAGATCTTGAACTGCTCCTGACTTCTGACATCTCCTAGCTCTTCCTTTTGCATGTCCCAGGCTCCTGTCCCCTCTCTCATCCAATGTGTGGCTGCCCCCACAGGTAGATTAATATCCACCCAACCTGGCTACCTCTGGCATTGGCAGCCAGAGTCCCCTTGGGCTGCGGTTTCTGAAGGGCTAAGTCCTCACATGGCGTGTAATGGGGCCAAAGTCTCTGCTTCTGCCACCCCTTTTCTCTGATGCCCAATGGTGCAACAATCTCTTGCACAAAATCGACCTTTGCAGAGCAATGAGGAAGCCCGGAGTAAGATAAAAGTTATCCTGCTTGATTGGAGGGGGAAGGAGGGGATGCGGAAAGGCTATCACTCAGTGGAGAGTCTCCAAGTCACCCTCCCCAGCAGTGACCTTCAGGAATCCTTTCTCCAGAATACAGGAAAGGCCTAATTCAGTAGCTGACACCACAGGTCTCTGTGTTCAGTGGATAAGGCCCTTGTGTGGGGTGGAGGGTCCTGCTAGAAATCACAGCACGCTCGTCTTCAGCTCAGGCTGATCTGACTTCCTCGTCCCCTCCCCTGGTCCCTTGGAGTCCCATTTCTCTGCGGTTCCTCCCTGTCACCCCAGGGCAGAAGACTAGAAGGAAGGGAACAGCAAAGCAAGGGAGGAACATTGAACCAGGGCACAGGAGCTTCTGCTGTGCGTGAGGTTGATGTAATGACCTTGATCTAATGACCTCCTTTTCCATCCATGCTGAAAGAGCAACCCTTACCTGGCTTTCTGGAAGCACTGAGAAGCATTGCTGCAATGGATCACCCACACTTAGAGCTAGAGCCCAACCTCAGGAAAGAAATCTCAGCTCACCTTTCGTTCTCTGGGCTCAGCTGGGGCTTCTGCATCCATGTCAGGCTAGAATAAGGCCCACTTGGACTTTTTCCTTGGGTCCTCAAAGATGTTGGCCTGTGGGTGTCTTCTAGTTGCTTTCTCTAAATCTGGAGAGAGAGAGAAGCCCCAAAGTGTGTGAGCTGGCGTTGGAAGCTTGAGGCACAGCGGCAGCTCTGTTGCTCACCTCCCTGCTTCTTGCTCCAAGATTCTTCTCTCTGGCTCTCATTACGTGTGGTCCCTAATGCCACTTATTTCTGTGAGACCGTTTTCAGGGTGGTGATGGTAGCTTCAGGGAAAGTAGGTGGATGCACTCCTTCCTTCTTTCCTGCCCTCCCCTGCGTAGGCACCCAGGTACTTTAGGATGTCCACTGCTCAGATGTCTCATTCCGGCATCTCCAGAACCACTGATGCTACAGCTGAGTGGGAGAGAAGGGGACTTCAGCAGTCTGGAAAGGAATTCCCCTGTCCCCCTCTCCCCTCCACTGGCTGTCCGCTGTGCCCTGCTGACCTGCCCCCCTGGTTTCCAGAGAAAAAGCCATTTGGGATTTTCAGGTTATTGACTCAGTTTGACTGTGTGCCTGGTGCTTTCTAATTCATGCTCAGGACAAAGGACAACCTAGTCATTGATACAGTTTTCTTGGAAAGAAACCACGGACAGATGCGGTTTATTCCAGTAGATGACACAAGGGAAAATATCCCAGTATTTCCCTTGGGAAAATCTGTGTTGGAAGAGGTTCTTTTCTGTGTAAAAGATGTGCCTTCCTCTGTTGGTCTTGAACTGACGCAGGTCATGCACTCAGCAATTAAGGGATCCAGGGAAACGGGGTCACTGCAGGCTGCAGTGTAAGACTCTGATCAAGAATAGATGAAACGACACCCTCGGGTGAATTCCAAAGCTGCCCTACGGACGGCGACTGTTGTGAGAGCCTTTGTTGCTCTGCCATTGGTTGTAGCGTGCATCCTCCGCTTTCCCAGCGTGAAAACAAGAAGTTAGGGCACGGCAGTGGTGTGTGCGTGTGCACACGTGCACAAATGTGTGCTGGTGAGTGTGCACAGCTGTGTGTGCTATTTTCTTTCCCACCAACGGCCTCTCCCAGACCCTAGAATACCTCTCCAGTGTGAAAGGCATTCTCTTGGAAGCGATAGCCTTGAACAGTGTGCAAACCAAGCTTGTACACAGTGTCTCACCCACTAGAGGACTGAACAACATTCAGGCAGGTGGTAGAGAGGTGGCTGGAGTGCCCTCTCCCCTCCACTGGGAGGAATATCACATGCATCATCTTGGAACATGTGGACCTTAGAGTAAGACTCCCACTTGTCCCAAACTTACATGGGGAAATACTCTGAGTCAGGCTACTTAGTCTCTCTCTCCTAATTTGTTCAACAGGAAATAGCTGCAGCAACCTCAGACAGGTAATAGGTAGAACATGTGTGAAAACTATGCTACTCAAAATACCCAGAGTATAGTAATTCTCAGAAAGTATTATCTAGTCATATCATTAGCTTAGTTGTCAGCAAGAGGAGTCAAGTGTCTTATCATAACCAGACCCTCAAAAAAACAAAACCCCACCAACTTTGGCATTTTCAGCCATTCAGTCCTCCTCTCCTCCCTCTTTTCAGCCATTCAGTCCTCCTCTCCTCCCTCTTTTCAGCCATTCAGTCCTCCTCTCCTCCCTCCCCTCCTTGCTCCCTCTTATTTTCCCCCATAGTATTCATCAAAGAGTGAAACAAAATCAATTGTCTAAGGGTATTTCTGAGGTAATGTTTGTGTTTAAATTTATATTTTTAAGAAAACATTTGCTATATTTACCATCAATAAGTAATGGAATCTGTCAAGCACCAGTGGCTCACACCTGTTACCCTAGCTATCTGGAAGACTGAGATTGGGAGGTCACTGCTTGAGGCCAGCCCAAACAAGAAAAGTTCATAAGACCCTCATCTTTATGGAAAAGTTGGGAGTGGTAGTGAGCATCTGTTATTCCAGCTAAGATGAGAAGGCTAAATAGGGAAGTGTAGTCCAGGTGAAACTCTTATCTCATAAATGAAAAGAGCAACAGTCTAGAAGATGTAGCTTAAATAACACAACTCCTGCTTTGCAAGCATGAAGCCCTGGGTTCAAGCCCCGGTACCATGGCCATCATCATCATCATCATCATCATCATCATCATCATCATCATCATGTGATCATTTTGCATCCTAAGGGGTATCTTTCGTAATGTACCGGGCTTGTTTTCAGAACACTTAGCAGGGCTATGATCTTTTGTGTCATCTGTGTTGGCTACTACTTTGAGGAAGTATCAAGCTAAGTATCAAATCTGGAAAGTGATTTTTCTACCCCCTGACCTCCCCTTCTACCTCCAGGCCTTCAATCCCAAGCTTTGACAAAAGATGGTGTTTGCTAAACACACTCACAGGAGTGAAAGCAGCAAACACAAAGCTAATCAACAAACGCTACTTGTGCTATAAAACCCATCGTTCTCAATCACCCCCCTGGGAAGCCGGGGCGCTCATGTTCATGGAAGAGCAGGGTGCAGACATTTTTTATGCCCTGTGGTTCACACTCGCCCCTCTCCCCCTTTCCTCGATGGCCCAATCAAGGTTTGTACTTGTACTATATTATTGGAAACTTTTCTGCTTCCCACTTTGCAAGCTTTCTCCCTTTCCTTGTTATGTGCTACAAAGAGGAACTTTTCCTTCCCATTGTCTTTGATGGCCTACTTAGAAATTCACAAAGGAAGTTGAACTATGAGACTTGTCACTGCTCCAAATGACAACAGAAATAAAACTTGTTTGGATTGCACACATAATTACTTTATAATGTCATTTAGCAGATTTTTTACAACCCCAACCATCATTTAGCCGAAAGCAAAGCTTGTGATCCTGCAACGTTCAACCCCAAACACAGAAGGCTTCCAAAGGCAGTTAGGAGAAGTGCTAAGATGGGTTCAAGTTCATCTTCAGATTGCTGTGAAATCACAGAGCAAAGAGTCCCAGGAGATCATGTTGCAGATTAAGCCGTAGCTCACATTGGGACATTGGTGTGGCTCATTGGAGGAAAACAGCACTCGCAGCTCTAGACTGATCTTCCTGGAGTGACTTTGTGACTTGAGTATGGAAATTGAAATGAGTATGTTCTTACCCTTTGTGACTGTTTGGAACAGATCTCACTCCTGATAATTGTAGCCCTTGCAGTATGAAGGTAGCCTGAAGTAGTTCATGTCCCACCAAGAAGGCTATTGGTCCCTTCAAGGAATGAAGCTCTATGGGAGACTTGGTGTTGTGCTCTGTTGTCAACAGACATTTAAGAGCAAATGTTGAGAACTCAGTGTGCAAGTGGTTAGATACTTAGCACCACAAACAGCAAGAAAGCAATAGGAGCTAACTCAACATTGGTTAATGAGATTCAGTGCTGTATACGGGCCCCTGCACAACGCCTATTCCTCTTTCAGTGTTCCCTTCCCCTCATGCGTCTTCTGTGCCAGTACCAGGGTGGCCAATGACTGAAGTTGGCTGATGCCGGGTGACCAATCTATTCAGTGCATTTGGCAGTTAAGGGCTTCTATTCCTGGACAGACTTTCTGTGGTGGGCATTGGCAAATGATATAAAGATGTTTGTATGTCTTGTCCACTCCCTTGCCTGTCCATATGCCTTTACCCAATCTTTCAATCTGTCTCATTCTAGGTTCTGTATGCATTCTAATATAGGACCATTCTCCCTTCACAGAAAATACAACTAAGTATACTGTGCTCATTGGAAGGACTTTAGAGAATGGACTGAAGCAGGAAAAGGATCTGTAGCAGGTCCAGGCTGAGGTGTAAGTAGCCTTGCCAGCTAGTTATAAAACCATGCAGGTGGTGAACAGGGCAGCTGTGTACAGCCTGTGGCAAGCCCCAGTGGGAAAGCCATGGCCTTATCACCTCTTCTTCAGTACCATCTGGAGAGAAGAATCACATGCCTTTTGACAATCAGATCCTGGTGTGATCCTAGGCTCTAACAGAGACATGATACTTGAACCAGGACCCTAAATGAGTAGGTATCTGAACCTGCCCATCATAAACTGAGCACTATTACATCTGCTAAGACACGAGGTCAAGCAAGCCTGGCAGCCATTCATTGTAAGTGGTAAGGGTTACATATGGGGCCGAGTTACAAGAATCTGAGGGCACAAGCAAGCTGCATAAGTGGGTCAACCAGACACCATTACAAATACCACGGCAACACCAACAGCCCTCCCCTATGTAACAAAGCAACACATGGGAACACAACTTGAAACAGCAGAGATTGTGGAGAGGAAGAAACCCAAGTTTGATCTAGTAGGAGTAGTATAAGGAGAAGCCTTGAAAGATGATAAGAAAAAAATCCTTCTAATGGTCCTGAACAGCATTCCCTTCCCCTGTCTGGAAAACATGGCACCGAGCAGATGTCTTGTTTATTTCCTTGTGGTAGGAATTATGAGAGATTTTATTTTGTCTTTTACTTTGGAGGAGACTTCCTGGCACGCTTTCATCACTGAACCCCTAAAAACATTCTGAATAGAGTATGATCTTAAATCTTTCCATCCCTGGAGCAATAGACATGTTACTGAGCTTGTATTATACAAGGCATTGCGCTGCTTGGTCATGTGGCTGGATTAGCCCAATATCACCAAATAATAAGTCAATGGACACTCTTCAGGATATCCACATGATCTAGATTCTTTTGGATTATATTATGGCCAAGAATAGGAGATTTATGTAGTCCTAGGATAAAACTTAAAAAATGTATGTTATGGGGCTGGGAAGGTGGCTCAGTGGTAGAGCGCTTGCCTTGCATGCCTGAGGCCCTGGGTTCAATTCCTCAGCACCACATAAGCAAAAAGAAAAAAGCCGGAAGTGGCGCTGTGGCTCAAGTGGTAGAGCGCTAGCCTTGAGCTGAAGAGCTGAGGGACAGCGCCCAGGCCCAGAGTTCAGGCCCCACGACTGGACAAAAAAAAAATGTATGTTATTCATATGTATGATCTAATGGTCTCTAATAATCTTTTTCTGATGACAAGAGCAAAGAATGCTTTCAGCAAACCAAGGCTCACACTTTGTACCAGACGCCATTTTGATTTGTTCATAGCAAGCAAATGAACACAATGGCTCAAATTGGAGCTACTAATTGGTTGAGTGTGCAGTTGTTTGCTGTTACTGTTCTAGGTCTACTTGATTTCTGCTGAGGCCAACAACTGAAGTGGAGATATTGTATGAACTATCACTCTGTGTCCTTTAGATCATTAACAATGGTGCTGATATCCAGAATTACTCTGGCCGTGAGATACGGTTTGGTATTTACTGGG